TATTGTCCTCTATGTATAATGATAAAGACCATAGGCTTCTGATTCCTGTCTCTTTAGCTTGGGAAAGTGGCGCTATATCTACGATGGCTTTGTTAGACTCTGGAGCAGCAGAAAGCTTTATAGACCAAGCTTTCGCTAATAAGCATTGTCTCCCATCCCAACTGAGAGACACACCCTTGGCAGTTGAGGCCATAGATGGTAGACCTTTGTCTGAACCAGTAATATTCCATGAGACTAAACCCGTTAAACTAACTATCGGTATCCTCCACGAGGAGATGATATCCCTCCTGTTAATATCCTCCCCGGCTGTCCCAGTGGTTCTAGGATATTCTTGACTCAACAGACATAACCCCCAGATTGACTGGGAATGTGGAGAAATCGTTTCTTGGGGAACTGGTTGTAGGGAGCAATGTTTGCTGAGAGTCACTTCTGTTTGCCCAGTAAACTCCTCTACCAACTCTTCTCAATCCACAGACTTACAGATACCATCTCAGTATCTGGATCTCAAGTCTGTATTTGACAAGAGGAAGGCTGATACTTTACCTCCCCACCGGTCTTATGACTGTACTATTAGACTTTTGCCTGGTACTATGCCTCCTAGGGGTACGGTGTACCCTCTGTCTACCAAAGAAAATTTAGTTTTAGAGGAATACATCAAGGAAAATCTAGACAAAGGATTTATTAGAAATTTTTCATCTCCGGCGGGGGCGGGTTTTTTCTTTGAAGAAAAGAAAGACGGTACCTTACGTCCTTGCATAGACTATCGGGGATTGAACAAGATTACCATCAGGAATGCTTACCCCATTCCTTTGATTACTGAACACTTTGTTAGACTGAAGGGCTCCAATATTTTTACCAAACTTGACCTGAGAGGAGCATATAACTTGGTAAGAATTAAACAGGGAGACGAATGGATGACAGCATTCAATACCCGTTACGGACATTATGAGTATACCGTAATGCCGTTTGGGTTATGCAATGCCCCGGCCGTCTTCCAAGACTTGATTAATGAGGTCCTTAGAGAATTTCAACACGAATGCGTGATAGTATATTTGGATGATATACTAATACATTCTAGGGACCTTGACTCACATCACAGACAAGTCAGAAGGGTGTTACAGAAACTTTTACAACATGGATTGTATTGTAAATTGGAGAAATGTAGCTTTGATCAATCCCAGATAACTTTCTTAGGCTACGTAATTTCCAAGGACGGGTTTATGATGGACCCGATTAAACTAAAATCGATTTTAGATTGGCCTTTACCCAAGGGACTCAAAGCCATACAAAGATTTATTGGATTTTCTAATTATTACAGACGCTTCATTAAAGGGTACTCCTCTGTTATTGCTCCTATCACTAATATGACTAAACAAGGAGCCAATACCAAAATGTGGTCTACTGAGGCTTTATCTGCTTTCGAAACGCTCAAACAGACTTTTGCTTCAGCACCCATACTAGTTCATCCTGATACCTCTCTGCCCTTTCTACTTGAAGTTGATGCTTCTGAAACAGGTATAGGCGCGGTATTGTCCCAAAGACAAAGTTGAGATAAACCTTTACACCCATGCGGTTTTTTTTCCAAGAAATTATCACACACAGAAAAGAGATATGATATTGGTGACAGAGAACTCTTAGCTATTATTATGGCATTAAAAGAATGGAGACATCTGTTAGAGGGCACTGTTCTCCCGGTTACCATCTTGACTGATCACAAAAATGTATCTTACATTGGAGAGGCCAAAAGATTATCTGCCAGGCAAGCACGTTGGTCTATGTTCCTTACACATTTCAATTACATACTTACTTACAGACCTGGTTCTAAAAACACCAAAGCAGACGCATTATCCCGTCAACACGAACCTATTACCATCACGGAAGACACATTGTCTCCTATTGTTCCTGAACATAACATTATCGCCAACACCAATGTCAAAATACACTCTCCATTGCTCGCAGATATAATGAACGAACAATCTCTTGCTCCCGAACGTACTCCTGAGGGACGGTTCTTCGTGTCTCCCAAATTCCAAATGGACATAATTCGATGCTTTCACAATAGCAAGTTTGCCGGTCACCCCGACATCCACAAAACTTGCTGTCTGATTTCCAAAGACTTCTGGTGGCCTAGTTTACGGAGGGATGTGGAAGACTTGTCAAGGTCTGCGATATCTGTGTTAGGAATAAACTACCACAGGCCCTTCCTTGTGGTCTTTTGCAACCCTTAGTCATTCCCAACAAACCTTGGGCTAGTCTGGCTATGGATTTTATTGTTGATTTGCCGGTTTCCAATAAACACACAGTTATCCTCACGGTTGTTGACAGGTTTACCAAAATGGCTCATTTCATCCCCTTGCCTAAACTTCCTTCCTCACCCGAATTGGCCGTGATATTTGCTAAGGAGATTTTTCGCTTACATGGTATTCCCAATGAGATTGTGTCTGACAGAGGGTCCCAGTTCATTTCCCGGTTTTGGAGATCCTTCTGTTCCCAGTTGGGCATCAAGCTGAATTTTTCTTCTGCCTATCATCCTCAATCTAACGGGGCAGCCGAACGCACTAACCAGAAAATTGAGCAATATCTACGTTGTTTTATTTCTGAACACCAGGACGATTGGGTCGGTCTGATTCCTTGGGCGGAGTTTGCTCACAACAACCTTGTTTGTGATTCCACTCGTAATAGCCCCTTTTTCTTGAATTATGGCTTTAACCCTACTATTCTTCCGTCGGTATCACCTTCTCATGGTTTACCGTCGGTTGATGTCCATATAGCCAACCTGAGAAAGTTGTGGGATCAGACTCGACAAATTCTTACTCGTAGTTCCACGGTGTTTAAGATGCATGCTGATAGGCGTAGACGGCCCGCTCCTGTCTTTTCTCCGGGTGATAGGGTCTGGTTGAGTACCAGACACATTCGCTTGAAAGTTCCTTCCATGAAGTTTGCTCCTCGTTACATAGGTCCTTACAGGGTGTTGAGGAGGATCAACCCGGTTTCTTATCTGCTGGACCTGCCTCCTACTCTACGTATCCCTAACTCTTTTCATGTGTCTTTATTGAAACCTCTTGTTTGTAACAGGTTTTCTTCACACCCTGCTCCTCCTTCTTCGGTTCACGTTGATGGTCAAGAAGAATATATTGTCAGGTCCATTCTTGATTCTCGTATTTCCAGGGGGAAGTTACAATACCTCATAGATTGGAAGGGTTATGGCCCTGAAGAGAGATCTTGGGTTCCTTGTGAAGACGTGCATGCTCCTCGTCTTCTTCGAGCCTTCCACGTTCGGTTTCCTTCTAAGTCCGGTCCCATCCGCCCGGTGGGCGTTTCTAAAAGGGGGGGTACTGTCATGTTACCTGTAATTTCAACCTCTGAGGAGGTCAGTCTCTCTTTCAAAGGGGCTCCTATGCCCAAGCATTTCGGCATTTTCGGCCGTTTTCGCGCCGGCCGCGCTAGCTCCTCCCCCTTTTATGACGCGACGGCCAATCGTCGACGTCATGACGTCATCATCAACGTGAACCGCCTGGAACCGCAATTCCGGACCTTTTGGGGGCGTGGTCATAATTAAGGTGACAGGGTATTTAAGGGAAGCTTTTACTACTGCTCATTGCCCTGTCGTGGTTCTAGCTTGCTAGTCACTCAGCGCGTTTCTCTCTTTGTGTTTTTCGGTTTTGACCTGGCTTGTACTTTTGTCCTGCTTCTCTCTCCTCTCCTTAGACCCGGCTTGTTCCTCGCTTACCTGTCCTCCGGCTCCCTCGACCTCGGCTTACCTTTTGACCATTCTTGTCTTGTCTATACGTTAGTCCGGCCATTCTAAGGTCCGGTATACGTACCTCCTCCTGTCCGCACTCTGCGTATTGGATCCCTGTCACGATCCTGACAGCTATTAATTCTTTTATTTTTGTTGATAGTGCTCTCTTTTTTGATAGTTGGAAAAGGGCAGCCCATATAGAAAAGGACAGCAAAAAAATAAATAGACCAGGGGTGCCCAAAAGATAGATCCCCTAGATGTTGTAGAACTTCAACTCCCATGATGCTTAGCATGCCTTTAGATTATTATTATTATGTTATTATTTATATAGATTGACCGAGCGTCATGGAAACTGTAGTTTTAAAACATCTGGGGATCTACCTTTTGGGGACATCCGAAATAGACAGACGTGTATTTTCAAAATATTAACATTTTAAAAAAACATATCAGATAAGAAAATACCAATATATCAACATATTTCTCATACTACTAAATCATTTTAAAAGTTTATCCAAAAAAATAAATAAATTAAGGCCTTAATCTTAAAAGGTTAGAAAACCCACCTCGGCAGGACGGAGTCAGTTCCACAAACTGTACTACCTATCGCATGAAACCTAATTAGCCAACAGACAGGCCCAGATGCCACAAATATTTATTTTTTTGCATTTACATAGCGCCTACCTATTCCACAGCGCTTTACAATATAGGGACTTTTTCACTGAATCTGGGACTGTTGACAGGAGGACAGTTCGACTTGACGAGTCTGATCCCCCCTTTTCATAATATTGTAAAGTGCTACGGAATCTGTTGGCGCTATATAAATGGCAATAATAATAATAATAATAATAATAATAATAATGATGACTCGGGGGTTGAGTATTTTCATCTAAATTTAGAAGTAATTTAGAATTTTAAAAGTTTTTTTTTTTTTTTTTCAAATGATCAAAACGCTTTCTTTACCGAATAAAACCTCAAAAAGGAAGTTGAAGCTGATGTAATGTAAATGTATCAAATCTAAGGTCCTAACTTGTTGTGCACCAGATAACTAAACTGTCTGACTTTATCATGACCCTTCAATTAACATTCAACATAGATCATTTGCAATGCTGTGAGATTGCAGCGCCCTCTAGAGGGCTTTACATGAAGCAATGCAGTGAGATTGCAGCGCCCTCTATAGAGGGCTCTACATGCAACTACTAGGTGAGCGGCGGCGGCTAACGTCATCGGCGCATGCGCACTAGGGCGGCAGAGGCCTTTCCTGTGATGGCGGAAGAGCTCCGCGCATGCGCAGAGCAGGAACGTCTTAGTTTATATTTCGCGCGGCTGCTGATTCCTGCCCGAGGTTTGTGTCCTTGTCCTGTCATTAGTTATTGCTATTATAGCTGCGTTTTGGCACGTTAGACGCTCTGCTCTGGGGTTCACATGGCTGTGCATCATGGGTAACGTAGTCCACAGCAGCAGGAGTGCAAAAGAAGCCAAGCATGAGTTGGGTAACAGGTGTGGGCGTGTCAGTGGTTACTGGTGAGCAGTGATGGCTGAGCCTGGCACCCCAGGTGTTCCAGAGCAATGTTTAATAGAAAAGTAGCTGAGCATCATGGGAAATGTAGTCCAGAAGCAGCTGGGGTGCCAGGGACAGCTTCACTGGGTGTTCTTGTAGCCAATATCTGAGTCATGTCCTTGTCAAACCTGTGACCAGATGTGGTGTGAAAAGAAATAAATCCCAGTAGAAATTTAACTTTATAAAATTGCTACCAGCACACCCAGGGAATTGGTACATTTTAGGAAACAACATACTATTTCTAAATGTGGTATTTTAATTGTTTTTTTTTTTTTTCATACCTGCCAATTGTCCTGAGTTTACTTTGGAGCAGTCCCTAGTTTTGTCTCGACATATGGCCAATGTTTTACGTATATCATCGGTTATAGCACATGTTTTCGTGCTGGAGCAGTGCTGATGGGTGCATTGCCAGCCCTTCCTCTTCATGTATACATTGATGAGTGGGCTTGGCATGCAATGTGCCATCCTATCAGCTCTGCGTATACAGCAGTGAGAGGGCTTGGCATGCAGTGCAATGTGCCATCCTCTTCACTCTGCGTATACAGCAATGAGAGGGCTTGGCATGCAATGTGCCATTCTAACCATTCCTGTATATACAGCAATGAGAGGGTTTGGCATGTAATGTGCCATTGTAACCATTCCTGTATATACAGCAATGAGAGGGCTTGGCATGCAATTTGCCATTGTAACCATTCCTGTATATACATCAGTGAGAGGGCTTAGCATGCAATTTGCCATTGTAACCATTCCTGTATATACATCAGTGAGAGGGCTTAGCATGCAATTTGCCATTGTAACCATTCCTGTATATACAGCAATGAGAGGGCTTGGCATGTAATGTGTTATCCTATTCACTCTGCGTATACAGCAATGAGAGGCCTTGGCATGCAATGCAATGTGCCATCCTTTTCACTCTATACATACAGCAGTGAGAGGCCTTGGCATGCACTGTGCCATCCTCTTCACTCTGCGTATACAGCAATAAGAGGGCTTGACATGCAATGCAATGTGCCATCCTCTTCACTCTGCGTATACAGCAATGAGAGGGCTTGGCATGCAATGTGCCATTGTAACCATTCCTGTATATACAGCAATGAGAGGGCTTGGCATGCAATGTGCCATTGTAACCATTCCTGTATAAACAGCAGTGAGAGGGCTTGGCATGCAGTATACCATCTTGTATTCTCCATACTTTGGCATGCATACTGCATCGCAGAAAGTATTGCTGATCTGTGGGGACATTTGGCTGTGATTTTAGTTTGAGAGCATGGACAGACTCCTTGGATTTGGCAGAGTTGGGAAAAATGTATCATTTACAAATGCCCCAGTGTTCAGGATAGCTAATATGGGATGCTTGGAGCGTGGCCTCATTCAGAAACGTATCAGTCAACAACGCATGTGCAGGTGAACTATACCTCCCAATATTGTGAGATATGCAAGAGCCTTGAGTTCATTATGTGATTGCTCTTCACTTACTGGGAACTTTTCTGTTTATCCACAGAAGCAGAGAACAAAGAAGGGGCCCACAATCTCAATTGCTCCTCTGAATCCAGGACGGTTGGGGGTATGCTGAATTAACCATTCATTTAGTCTGCTGGGGGTTATACTGAACTGACCTGCATAACTACCAATGAGTACATGAATATGTGCAGTTCATGAGTTAATCAGATTCTGTATGTGCAAAACCAATTTGTGTAGGACTAGACTTTTGTAAAGACCGCTCAGGCTGGTGTTTCATTCAAGAATACAAACAAAGGGAATACAACTTTTTTTTTTTTTTTTTTAACTAAGAATAAAGTTACCAATATTTCAAATTCTTCTGTGAACTGCAAATACCCACCTCTGCCACCCAGGAAGTTGTTCAGTCAATCATTGCTGTCTTGTTTTTCATGCAGATGCAAATCAAATGCCATAAACTGATGTATAGTACAGCTGAAAGCGATATAGCTTAATATTCACATCATACATAAAAACCATCAATGAAGCTATTTGTGCAGGGTAAAAAAATGTAGTATGTTATTTTGTAGGGTTTAATACTGCCCGAACAGCTTTCTGTAGAAATCTTGACAGCTAAACATAAAATCCTATTATACAGCCTTTATGGTTAATACAGCTGCACATGATAAACACAATAGTATACACGTAGCACAACCTGTTGTACCTTAAAGGTCCCTAAACACAGATTTCATTTGGTGTGTGTGGGTTTCCATTTTAAGAGACATTTCACTACCCAACTAACACAAATCACAGTTTAGTAGGTACACCCCAATGGAAATATGCATGCATTATCTAAAAACAACTTCCAAAAAGCTGCAAATCTCTTGCCATGTCTCCGCTTCTACCCCAGTGTAGACTTTCTGTGGCTCTCCAATCACAGACATTCTAATTCAGCTCACTGAGAATTATTTGCAAGCCAGGTGCTCTGGACAACTGCCTGCCTCTCGAGTTTAGCTCCACTGAGCTAAGCAACCAAGAAGTAACAAGAACTCTTGTCTGATTGACAGCCAAGGGGATGTAACCAGGTAAATTTATAAAAGTGTAAACCTCTGTCAAAATCTGCACTTTTTATAAAATGACAAAAAGAAGATACATTCTTCACTAGTGATGTCCCGAACTGTTCGCCCCGTTTCGACGCGGACTCCAGTCAGCTGACACATTCCAGCCAATCAACAGCAGACCCTGCCTCCCAGACCCTCCCACCTCCTGGATAGCATCCATTTTGAAGCTGCATTCTTAGTGAGCTGTCCAGGAGGTGGGAGGGTCTGCTGCTGATTTGGCTGGAATGTGTCAGCTGACTGGAGTTCGTGGCGAACAGTTCGGGACATCACTATTCTTCACACATAAAGCACTTCAGCTTGGGTCTGGAGTGTCCCTTTAACTCAGACTCCCAAAGATGGAGGTCAGAGAATAGTGCAATGCAGTGGGAAGGACGCAGACAAACCACATCATTTGTATTCACAATGATGTGGAATTCATTCTGTATTTGTCAGGGTTGGTACAATTTTTTGAAACAGAAAAGTATCAGGCCAAGTGAAGGGGAGCGGTATTGGTAATATTGACGCGAGAAACTGGCAGGGACAGATGTAGATAGGCTTATATGGCTGCATTTTTCATTGTAGGCTTTCCACTGGAAAATGGCGATGAATGACAGCCATAGGCGTTTCATTCAAGTGCTGATGTCCCATGGAATAATGGAAGCCTCAGCTGTACGGAAGTTGCATAGGCATTGCTGTGAAATACACAAAGGTCAGTACCTGTCTGTCCACTTACCAATAGCGCTGTGACATAAAAAAAACTTCATAATGTAGTGTGTTTGTAGATTTTCCGTAGTAACAACTTTTTTTTTTTTACGCTATTGATTGGTTAAAACAGTCTTGTTATAATTATTGTGAAAAGGATACCTGTAGGAAAGTTTCTAGGAGAGAAGGCAAACGTTTACATATCCTTTCTTAGAAAACAGTCTTTTAGTTGCAGAAATCTCAAATGAATTGGTAACGGCTGCATCAGCAGTAAAAGTATCTCAATGTTTATGGGAAAAGTACCAGAGCATTGGCAGCAGGCAAGTACGGACATCCTTCAGATCTGGATGTAAATCAAGAAGAAAAGAGTCTGCTTTCAGGAAAATATTTTGAGATAGAATCTTTTTTTTATAATAAAAACATCAATTAATCAATCTCAGAATATGCACAGAACGTGTAAGGTACTTTTTCTACATAACTTGCGTGGTGTAGATTGGCTTTTACCAACTGGATAAAGGGTTATGTTTTTATTATAAAGAACAATGATTTTATCTTGACTTTTTCCTCCAATGAGCTGGCTATTTTATGTTTTTTTTTTTTTTAAGGTTGTACTGTGTTATTTTTAAACACTTCAGCAGGTTTTTTTTCGGTCCGTTAAGAAAGTATAATGTGTCAGAAGGTAGACCTTCTGCCCAACTAATCCGGGCTGCACGCATGTTGACTGCTGCTAAAAAGCTCTTGCATCAACAGAAATACCTAGCATTTTGCTTCTTTGGCATTAACATTTTTAACCATTTTAGACTGAAGTTTGCAATTTGGATTTCATTTCACTATAGTTAATAGTTTGGAAAATAAACAGATATAGTTAATAGTTTGGCATGCGAGGGTTTTATATTGGAGTATTTGGTTTTCACTTAATTCTCGTTCTAGCATTCATTCATGAGTCTCAGAGACAGGAGTAAGCAACATGCCAGTTATTAGAAATACGTTTATACTCATGGATATTTACAAAAGTGAGAGTTGGGAAGAATTCAAAACTTAAGTCCGAAGTATCCAAACTTCAAAAGTATTCCAAGTCAGCTTTGTTCCAGTTTGACTACTTAAACTGGGCAGACTAGATGGGCTGACTGGTTCTTATCTGTCGTCACATTCTATGTTACTATGTAAAAATTAAATTCTATTTGTCAATTCTCACTTCAGTGAATTGTGAGTCAAGAAATTGATTATTGTTTTGTTTTTTCCAGTTCATTACGTGCATGACAAATTAGATGATTTTATTGATGTTCTAAACAAGCACTTGAAGCCTGTATTTATGGAAATAAGGAAAAGATTTGGTGAAGATGATGGGAAACGATACTATGCCCTGGTGAGTGGATAAAACACATTGGTTATGTTTTCTCCTATGTTTTGCAGTTGATGGAGTAAAAAGATAATTATTGGGGTCCATATGACCCCTGACTTCTGGCTTTTTTCAATAAAATGAATAAAACACCATGCTGGGAATTTTTTTTTTTTTTTTTAACTCTTCTCAGACAGACCGGAATAAAAAAAAAAAAAGTTTTTAGTTCTTTATTTTTATTGTGCAAGTGTTAACAAAAATGCTTGAAACGCCACGACAGCTATAACAAGCCTAATAGAAATGGGGAAAAGATATTATCAGCATGGCCTTCATAGAAGCTGAACATTTTTTTAAATTAAAATAACAAAATAAGAGACTTGTGTAAACTAAAAAATTGTATGGCGCATAGAGTAGTCATGCATATTTTTAGGAAATGTATAGAATAACATGCGGACAGGCGAGTCTAAGTGAAGTGACCGAGAGAGACATGCAATACTAGCTGGTTATGAGTTGTACATCTCTTGTATAAGGGTCTACTGTGTGCTAGGGTAGCTACATAGAGTAAGGAGTACTAAACTGTGATTGTAATATAACCTGTTAAGTGTATACTAGACTGCCTGTGACTGATAGAAACAGTAATCGTACCACTGGACATGAGCCCCCGAAGCGACATCAGCAAAATAAAACTGGATGATTGCCCGCTGGGGAGAGATTTGACAGGGTGAGTCTGCATAGCTCGGCACCGGGCCATTCACATAGCTCTGTAAGCGGACCCTTACAAAAGATCGCCAGACTACCCATACCCCCAGTTTGTCCTGTGGGAGATTACAGAGTAAAGTCCCAGCAGGCAGACATTGTCAGCATAATGTGCTCAATACGCGCCATCCTTAGATGACCTCAGTTACGGTCCTCCAGTGAGCCGCGATGGTGGGGATTTACTTGGTAGTCTTAGCTTTGGCGTTCACCCTCCAGGGTATAGGTCTGCAATGGAGACTTCCACTTGGCTTGAGGCTTGGGTAAGCGAGAGGCAGCAGCTAGGCACAGGCGTCAAATGTGCTGTGCGGGCATGAGCTCTTACAGACTCTCCAGGATCTGTTGGCTCGGTAGCGAGACCTTTTGGGCTAAGGTATAGCTCAGGGTGTGTCAGGCCGTCTTCCCTCTGTTGGACGAGTGGTGGGGCCGATCTAGCGGGAATCACTGCGGCGGCCTTCTTAGTTCCTGGACATCGGGGCAGTCTCAGCCAATCTTGCCGACATCAGCCCCGGACCTGTCCAGCGGGGACCGGGATACCCCCTAAGGTCCAAAGGCAGCCAGGTAGGTGAATGGGGTGGCGGCCCTCTGTGCCGCTCTTCCCCTGAGCTCCAAAGCTTCGTGCAACCTGGGGGGGGGCACTGAAGCTCCTGGTCTCTGAGTCAGCAGTGGTGCCAACAACGGTCTGTGTGCTGTACTGTTTCCTTCTGTTATAGCATCGCTGGACGTCCTCACGCTATGAGCTCTTACAGACTCTCCAGGATCTGTTGGCTCGGTAGCGAGACCTTTTGGGCTAAGGTATAGCTCAGGGTGTGTCAGGCCGTCTTCCCTCTGTTGGACGAGTGGTGGGGCCGATCTAGCGGGAATCACTGCGGCGGCCTTCTTAGTTCCTGGACATCGGGGCAGTCTCAGCCAATCTTGCCGACATCAGCCCCGGACCTGTCCAGCGGGGACCGGGATACCCCCTAAGGTCCAAAGGCAGCCAGGTAGGTGAATGGGGTGGCGGCCCTCTGTGCCGCTCTTCCCCTGAGCTCCAAAGCTTCGTGCAACCTGGGGGGGGGCACTGAAGCTCCTGGTCTCTGAGTCAGCAGTGGTGCCAACAACGGTCTGTGTGCTGTACTGTTTCCTTCTGGCTTGGAGTAGTATTAAAAGCCCAGATTATCAGCCGAAAAGGCCTCAGTCTGCAGGAGCCTCTGCCGCATGTGCCGAGTCAGCAAGGCGGTCAGGCCCAGCCCCCCAAATTTCCTATTTTTATTTTTTGGCCACTATTTTTTTTTTTTTTGTGCACAATGAGTTTCCCAGACAAAGTTCAGCCTCCCTTTGACTGAAGATCCCAGTAATCAACCTGTTTAGAATAAGTTCAAATTTAGATATTTGAACGACTAAGAGAGACACTCATATATCTATCCAAGTCCTCTTGCCCATGGGAATAGAAAAAGTTTCAGAAGAAATTAAAGGGATACTGTAGTGCCATGAATGCAAAGCTATATTCCTGGCACTACCGATCCATCTGCCTCCCTCGCGCCACCGCCTACCCAGTAAATAAAGGGTTAAAAACTATATTTACCTACCTTTTCCCAGCGCAGATGTCCCTCGGCGCTGGGTTGAAGCTGCGCCCCCTCCTCTGTCCCGCGACGAGCAGGGTCTAATGTGAATGCGCGGCAAATGCCATGCGCGCATTAGACCTCCTCGTAGGAAAGCATCGAATCAATTCTTTCCTATGGGAAAAATCTGACGCAGGATGTCCTCATGTAGAGCGTGAGGGCGTCCAGCGTCAGATAACGGACCAAAAGTCTGTTTGGATTCCGGAAACTCTCTAATGGCTGTCTGGTAGACAGCATTTGAGGGCAGACTTACTGCTGCAATGTAAACATCGCAGTTCTCTGGAACTGCAATGTTTTACATTGCAGCAATATGTGCAAAAGGGTCACCGCACCCAGACCACCTCAATGAGCAGACGTAGTCTGGGTGCCTACCGTGTCCCTTTAAAGTACATCTATTATAGGACATAAAAAATGTTAAAGGGACACTCCAGGCCCCCAGACCACTTCTGCCCATTGGAGTGGTCTGGGTGCCAATTCCCACTATCCTTAACCCTGCAAGTGTAATTATTGCAGTTTTTAAGAACTGCAATAATTACCTTGCAGGGTTAACTCCTCCTCTAGTGGCTGTCCAGTAGACAGCCACTAGAGGGCACTTCCTGGTTTATAGCACAGGTGTTTTTTTCTATTATAGCATCGCTGGACGTCCTCACGCTATGTGAGGACCTCCAGTGTCGCTAAAATCCCCATAGGAAAGCATCGAAAGCATTTTCAATGCTTTCCTATGGGGAGGTTCAATTCGCGTGCGCGGCATTGCAGCGCATGCACATTAGGTCTCCCCTGATGGCGGCCGCGCATGCGCAGTCGGTCTCCCCTGACGGCTGACGTCTGACATCGGCGGTGGTCTCAGGTAAGTCACTGAAAGGGTTAGAACCCCTTCAGCAACATGTGATGGGGGTGGGAGGGAGAGGGGACCTGCAGTGCCAGGGAAAACTATTTGTTTTCCTGGCACAGGAGTGTCCCTTTAAGTCCCTATCTATCCCCCAGCAATGAGTATCTGCTTATTTCTCTTGTATTTTCTCTATTTATCTTTTTTCTTCTGAATGCAGTAGGTTTTTACCTGTGTTGTGTGCTCCTTTCAATATTGGCCTCTTATTTTGCTCGCCGGCTCCTTTTGTGGGTTTTTATATAGCGATTAGTTCATTTTGGCACAAATACACTGACGTCCTGTTTGCGCGAATGCGCATGCGTTCGGTTATTTAATTGCTAGTCACGTTGGAATTACAGCAAGCCACTGATGGGGCATAAAGCCTAAGTGGTCGGATCTATAGTTTAAATAGCTTCAGGAATTCTCTAAATTGAGAAAACACCCATTTCCACCAGTCACTGTGAAAAACTGTTAATGTTTCTAGATCTACCTTCATCTGTGTTAGGTCGGTTTCATTTCAGTAAATATTCAATTAAAAGTTCCATATGTCATTTGGACAACTTCTCCATTATTTGTTTAGCAGACACCAAATTGCTCCAAATTTTACTTTGTGCCATTTACTGAACTGATCTCTGTATTTCATTTCCTGGCTAATCATGGCAGCATCACTTATGGGTAGCTCCTCCCTTAGCAGTCACAGGACAGGAATTAATTAGATTAATTAATCAGACTGATAGGTATAAGGAGTCCCTCCTCCCCCTACACCTCAGTCTTTTTTCCTGTCCTTAGCAAGTTCTACAGGACTTTTTACATTTTGTTTTATGGCCACCTTCCTGTGTTTGTCGTGGGTTCGTTCCAAATGAAGTTCAGCCTCTCTTCATTTGAAGGACCCAGTAAACAGCCTGCATGAGCAGGACTAACTGGGTCAGGTTCAGTGTAAGTACTGGACTGCAGCGTGGGAAGTAAGTGTTTGAGGGAGACACTATTTTCTGTTTAATTGTGGGGTTGGTTAGCCTTAAAAATTCCCCCTGTTTTCAGCCTGCCCCTACTAATTATATCCCCCCCCCCATACCTTGTTGGCAGTATTTGAATCCATGCTTAGGGGTCTTGTCCTTTAGGATCTGTTTCTTGCCTCTTGTTTGGTGCCTTCCCTGGCTCTGTTCCAGCCTCTGATGGGTTAAATGTGGGGCTGTGCAGGCTTCCCTGCTCCCTGGGGCTCCCTGTGCGCCCGGGCATTGGGGGCTGGAACGCATTATGCGTTCCAGCCGACTGTTTGTTGCTCGCAGCCGGTTCCGGCGAAACCGGAAGTAATTTGCATGCCGGTCGCGAGCGTTTGGAACGCATAGCGTGCGTTCCAGCGCTCTGCGCATGCGCGAACCGGGCAATCAGCTGTTCGCTGCCCGGACCTTTTTAAAAGCATCTAATACAGCTGCCTTGGCGCTATATCTGCTAGCCTTATGTTGGTTTACCCCTGGGGAAAGCATTGGTGTCCAGTTTGTGCCCAGCTACTCCTATCTGCTGCCTGGCTGCATAGTGGATGTTCTGCTCTTTAAGGTAGGATTGCTGTTTTTACTACTTATTGGAAGTATTGCTTTGTCAGTTTGTCTATTTATCCCTTTGGGGAATTAGGTCTTGGATTTTCCTTTGGTTCTTCTTTATAGTATGGATTCTCCCTCTGCCTCTGCAAGATCCCTCTCTAGAAAACATAGGTGAGCCATTTCTTAATTTTATTGGGGGGGGGTGTTGTTAAAAGAGTGCCATACTGAGCCTGTAATATATGTCATATATGGCTTCATTCCAGCCCCAGCATTCATTTGGATTCTCCAGCGAGAAAATCACGGGAAAAGTCAAATAAATGCATTAATTGTTCTTCGCCTGCTCCGAATAGAAGGAACCTTTGCAAGGAATGCTTGTTGGAAGTCGCTGATGCCCCCAGTAGGAGCTCTCCACAAGACGACCTTAAGCTCTGGATTTCTCAGGCTATTGCTGAGGGCTTTATGGCTACCACGGGATCTAGTGGTCCAAGTAAGAGACGCAGAGCGGAACCTCAGTCTTCCAGCTCTGATGAGGACCCTGATGTCTGGGAGGTATCAGATGAAGGTGAGGAGGAAGCTGAATATGCCTCCACGTCTCTTGACTCCAGGTCTATGGATAGACTTATTACCCTTCTCAGAGACACTCTTAGTCTCACTGAAGAAAGATCTGAATTGAAGGAGGCTGACAGGTTTTTTGAGGACCTAAAGCCTAACAGACCTACTTTCCCGGTGCATGCGCCAATCAGGGATATGATCCTTCAGGAATGGAATAAGCCTGAAAAGAAGTCCACCTTAAAAAAATAAGTTTGCGAGGGTTTATCCGTACTCTACAGTGGATTGCTTCCTGTGGAACTCAGTTCCTAAAATTGACGCTGCAGTGATCCATATGGCTAAGAAAACTGCACTGCTTATTGACTCCATGGCATATCTCAGGGAGCCTATGGAGAAGCGTATGGATGGAGACCTGATTAAAGACTACTTGGGCCTAGGGTCCGCCCTTCATCCGGCAGTGGCACTGACGACTCTCTCCAGAGCCTTGAAAGTGTGGCTCGCTAATCTGAAGGACGACATTGATCAGGGTGTCCGTAGGGAACATCTGTTGGAAAGCTTCAAGGACTTTAGTCTAGCCACGGAATTCTGTTCAGAGGCCTCCCTGGACATCACTCGCTTGATTGCCAAAAGCATGGCCCTGTCTGTGGCTTCTAGAAGGGCCTTGTGGCTTCATTCGTGGGGTGCTGACTATGCTTCTAAGGCTTCCCTGTGTGCACTTCCGTTCCGAGGGAATCTCCTTTTTGGGAAGATTCTGGAAGATGCTATTCAAAAAGCTGCTCATGGGAAAAAGGCGTTTACCTCAAGCTGGCAGAAAGAGTTTTTCCCTCCTCCTGGAAGACCAAGCGCTTCAAGGATCGGTCCTTTCGGGACAGCAGGAGCTATAAATCAGGAAGGGAGTTTTCCAGGAATTCTTCATGGAAATCCTATTCACACTCATCTTCCAATAAGGCTTCCAGAGGAAAGGGTGCTAGAACCTCAGGGAAGAACTTCTGAAGGTCCCCAGGCCCGTTCGGGGACGGCAGGAGGTAGACCGAAGTTCTTCTACCCCATATGGGCCAGCAATATTTCAGACCTATGGGTCACTTCCATCGTAAAAGAAGGTTACAGAATAGAATTCTCATCTTAACCGAAAACTGCATTCTTCAGAAGATCAAAGGTGCCGGTAGGCATCAAACGATGGGCCATGAGGTCCTGCATTTCTGTACTCCTGGAACAAAAAGTGGTGAAGAAGTTCCAAAACAGGAATGGTTCCAGGGAATTTACTCCACGGTCTTCTTGGCCCCAAAACCACAGGGAAAGTGGTGTCTCATCTTGAATTTGAAAGGCATGAACTCCTTGCTCGACGTAAGGACGTGCAAAATGGAATCCTTAAGGACCATCTTGAAGTGTGTCAAAAAGGAGACTGGATGACCTCAATAGACTTAAGGGACGCCTACTATCAATCTTGGGTCCATCTCAAGGAATTGTAGCTCAACATACGTCGGTGGCAATGTCCATTCTTCAAGACCATGGTTGGCTCCTGAACGTGGGAAAGAGCTCCCTCGTTCCTGCACAAACTATCGTTTTCCTGGGTACGGTGGTGAATACCGTGTCTGCACATGTGTTCCTGTCTCCAGAAAGGGTCACGAAGATCAGAGACAAAGTAAGGAAGCTGCAAGTTCTCGAAACTGCACCTGCAAGAGAAGTCATGAGTCTCCTGGGTTCCTTGACTTCAACAATAGGCTTGGTGAAGTGGGCCCAGAACTGCTTCCTTCTCCAGTTCAACAGAGTGGAAGCGGATTGGGAACAGATGATATCTCTTCCCCTTCCCATAAGGAAAGGCTTAAACTGGTGGAAGAGCGAGAGGAATTTGACAACAGGCTTCCCGTTGGAAGACCCCCCCCTTGGAAGGTTATTACAACAGATGCCAGTTCTTTTGGATGGGGTGCCCACTTCAGTCCTGTATGGACTCAAGGGAAGTGGACCCGAGAAGAGTCGCCTACACTCAAACTTAAGGGAACTGAGAGCGGTTTACAAGGCCATTTTGAGATTCCTGCCGAGGCTAAGGAATTCTTGGGTTCTAATCAAAACAGACAACCGAGCGGTGGCCTCATATGTGAACAACCAAGGTGGCACGAGGAGCAGGTTGCTCCTGGAAGAGCTGGCTCCCTTAATGGCTATAGCCATGACCTATCGTCAAGGCCTGAAGGCGATTTATCTCCCAGGTTCGGAGAACGTAACGCAGACTTCCTCAGCAGAAAGGAAATTCTTCCGGGAGAATGGCAACTTCACCCGGCGATCTTTGCAGAAATTGCTCATCGGTGGGGCATGCCCCAGATCTACCTGATGGCATCATCTCAGAATCACCAGGGGGAGAATTACTTCTCTCTCCATCCGGACTGTCAGGCACTGGGCCAGGATGCTCTCTCTCTGCCTTGGTCGTTCGATCTGGGGTATGTTTTTCCCTCCCCTACCCATGATACCCAGGTTCCTGCGGAAGGTTTGGTTGGAAGGCAAGAAAGTCATTGCCGTAATTCCAATTTGGCCTCGGAGGCCGTGGTTTCCCCTATTGGCCATGATGAGCCAGGAACAACCTTGGCCTCTTCCAGTGATGGAGGATCTGCTATCGCAGGGCCCTGTATTCCATCCTCATCCGGAATGCCTCAAACTGGGGGTATGGGTCTTGAGAAAGAAAGACTCCAATTACTAGGTCTCGCGGAGGCGGTGATCATTACCCTTCTGCTCTCCAGGAAGGCTTCTACTTCTAAATGCCACCATAGGATTTGGGATGTGTTCCAAACTTGGGCATCGTCTCATAATGTGGACTTTCGGCATCCTAGCAATACTGAAGTTTTGGAGTTTCTGCAAGAGGGCCTGGACAAGGGCCTTAGCCTCAGCACCTTGAAGGTTCAGTCTTCGGCACTTTCAGCTTTGTGCAACATCTCATGGGCTTCGGATCTTTTGATTTCCAGGTTCTTCAAAGCGGCCTTCAGGTTGAGGCCTCCTTCCAGATCTACTACCCCTCCTTGGGACCTTCCTATGGTGCTCAATTATCTTACTGAGGATCTGTTTGTTCCTCTTGAAAGTTTGGATGCTACTCTCCTGACGTATAAAACTTTGTTTTTGGTGGCAATTACTTCCGCAAGAAGGATTTCAGAAATTAAGGCATTTTCTACATCTTCTTCTTGTTTACGATTCTACCAAGATAGGGTGTGTCTGAAACCAAAACCAGAGTTTCTTCCTAAGGTAGTTTCTCAGTTTCACCTCTCTCAAGAAGTGGTTCTTCCATCATTTTACCCCAACCCCTCTTCTCAGGAGGAGGTTAGATGGCAACGTTTGGATGTCATGAACTGCTTGTCTGCATATCTTAAACGTTCTGAGTCTTTCCGTAAAACGGACCAACTCTTCGTTTTGCCGTTGGGAGCAAGGAGAGGTGAGGCGGCTTCTTTATCTACGTTGAAACGTTGGATTTCTCTGATAATTAAGAAGGCGTATATCTCTAAAGGTATATCACCACCTCGGGAGATAAGAACTCATTCTACTAGAGCATTATCAACTTCATGGGCTAGCTGGGCAGAGGTTCCATACAATGATATTTGCAGAGCAGCCACCTGGTCTTCTCCGATGACATTCATGAAGCACTACAAACTTTATGCGGAGTCTCCTTCCACCTCCTTTGGACAGAGTGTCCTGTCTACGGTTTCTTTATCCAGTTGATATTAAACTTTTCTTTGCTGCATGTGATTCAGTTTGGTGTGATTTCTTGGATTATTATTCCCACCCTATTTTTCTGTGAAGCTTGGGTATTACCCATAAGTGATGCTGCCATGATTAGCCAGGAATAGAGAAAATTTATGACAAACTTACCGTAATTTTCTTTTCCTGGCTATTTCTCATGGCAGCATCAGGGTTCCCGCCCATTCTTTATTTCAGCTTTATAATTGGACTGAGGTGTAGGGGGAGGAGGGACTCCTTATACCTATCAGTCTGATTAATTAATCTAATTAATTCCTGTCCTGTGACTGCTAAGGGAGGAGCTACCCATAAGTGATGCTGCCATGAGAAATAGCCAGGAAAAGAAAATTACGGTAAGTTTGTCATAAATTTTCTCTATTAGTTAATACCCAAATTACAATTACGGGTCAAATTCTGTGATTTTAACTGAATTTTGCATTTCTGGGATTCCTTTGGAGAAAATGTACTCATGTAAGATCATTGCACCTGTCAATTTTAAATATTATGAAATGAGAGCACTTTAAAGCATTTTATTTCTGAATGAAAAGCACTCAAGAAGATGACAGGATATATGTTACAGCATCACATAATATGAACATCTGCTACTCTGTGCATCATGTCAAAGTATTTGACCACTAAGGCTTCTATTCCCATCTCAATCCTCAAGGTGCACCAACAGTCTGTGATTTAGGCATATCTTAATTATTTTCCCATGCGGATACTGACAAAACCTGGACCTCTGGGTTGGGAATTTATGTAACCTGTGTAGGTGGCAGCTAATGTAGTTGGAGAAATGTTGAGAAGAAATTAAAAATGAAATCTCAAAGGTGTAATTGCAAAGTACATTGTTATGTTGGCTTTAAGAAAAAATAAAAAAATTTCCCCCTTCTAGGTGAACACTGCGGAAAATGACGTTGCTAAAATGGCTACAGATTATGCAGAAAATGAGCTTGAGCTGTTCAGAAAAGCTGTAAGTGTTTGCTTAGCATACAAATAGTGCAATGTTGGTGGCTCCGGTTTTACACCTGCAAATAATGAAATGAGTTCTGGTTCTAGAATAACCAGGCGTGTTTACTGTATTTTTTGGCATGGCATCATGGAAGTCGTGGTTTTGGAACGGTTGGGGATTTAAAGTAGCAGCGACCCTAATTTTTTTGTTTTTTTTGTTTCCATAAATGTCAGGTTTATAGCTTGCCTGTGCATTGTGAGAGTTTTACTTTAGTTTGCTCAAGAACCAACCATGATATCTGTCAATTTCAATTCCAATAGATAAATTGCACAAACATTCCAAGCCAGCTAGATTCTCAATTTTTGCCATGGATTTGCCCTAAAATCTGAAACGTACTTAGAATTTCTGACAATTCACACTTTAGTGAATAACCGTATGTCTTTTTATGAGTGATGCATGGCATATGCAGATATAAGTGTAATTTTTGAAGTTGTGTGCCATTTGTAAAGATAATATATTCTATGTAAGGTAGGTTGAAATGTGTGATTATAAATATATTGTGCTAGTTTGTTCTACTTGTGAGCATAATATGGTAGAGCGTTTTCTGAATATCTTGGGCACATGAACGAAAAATACAGATTAAAACACGAGTAATGTAGGTATTTTGTTTACATTTACAGTTGGACTTAATTATAGTGTCTACCAGTGGTTTTGCATCCTCCACATATATATTGAACCTGGCTGACAATCTGCAGAACAAGAAGATGAAGAAAAAAGAGGCAGAACAATTGTTGCAAAGATTTGTTCAAGACAAATGGCTTATTGAGGTTAGAGATTTAACAAAAAGTAAAACGTGTTGAATATATAATGGAAAATTAATGTGATTAAAAAACACAATTCAAAAACATATGGTGTCAGAACTAAATAATTCAAATTGTTATCAGTTCATTTAGCACTATTTAATTTGTCTTCCATGTTAAAATTGGTTTAGGACCCACCGATTATTGAGGTATTGTGGCACAGTGGTGGGCTTTAAACAATATGATGATACAGTTTCACCATAAGGCCATATTTGTTTGCTGATATGGGTTGATTTTTAAGTAGCCTTGTAATATGTAAAACTATTTTTGTGTGTGTGCTGTTCCTTAATCTGTATTTTGCACCCCTTCTGAGAAATTAATGTTTGGGGTGATCCAATTCCCCCCTTTTTTGCTATGTGATGTTAAAGGGGCACTATAGTCACCAAAACAAATACAGCTTAAAAGGACACTATAGTCACCAAAAAACTTTAGCTCAATGAAGCAGTTTTCGTATATATAGATCATGCCCCTGCACTCTCACTGCTCAATTCTCAGCAATTTTAATAGTTAAATAACTTTGTTTATGCAGCCCTAGTCACTCCTCCCTGCATGGAACTTACACAGCCTTCCTAAACACTCCCTGTCATCTAATGTTTACACTTCCTTTATTGTAATTTTTTTTAATATAGAATGTCTTATCTCCTGCTCTGTTAATAGCTTGCTTGGAAATAGCTAGTAATATATCTTGAAAATTAAATCATTTTTTTCCATGCAGGCTGTGGGAGTCAGAGCCAGGGGAGGTGTGACTAGAGCTGCATAAACAGAAACAAAAGTTAAAACCTTTTTTTTTTCTCGCCATTAAATGGTCTTTCTAAAGATACCATTATTTTTCATATCATATAATTTACTTTAAAAAAATATATAAAATATGAATTTTTTTTTTTTACATTTTTTTTAAAACACACCTTTTCTAACTTTCACCCCCAAAATCTGTTATGCATCTCCAACTGCCAAAAATCACCCATGTTAAGTAGTTTCTAAATTTTGTTTAGAAATAACCAATGTTAACATGTTACTAGTTTTTGTTTGTTTGTTTTTTTTGCAAGTTATAGGGCAGTAGCACTTTGCAATTTCCAAACCATTTTTGTTTTTCAAAATTAACTAAAGTTACATTGTAACACTGATATCTGTCAGGAATCCCTGAATAACCTTTCACATGTATATATTTTTTAAAAGAAGACAACCTAAGGTATTAAACTTGGGGTATTTTGATTCTTTTCATGCAACCATTTTTCCACTAATCTATGCCAAATGAAAATAAAATAATAATAATTGGTGTGTTTTTTTTTTTGTTGTTTTTTTTTATTTTTTACACACATAGCAATTTAAGAATACATGTACTGAGGACTTTTAGGGTTACTGCCAAATAACACCCCAAACTGTGTTCAGCAACATCTCCTGAGTAAAGTGGTACCACCAATGTATAGGTGTGTCTGGTTCTCTGAGGTTAAAAGACCTTATTTGGAGGGTGCACATTCCAGTTTTCCAACTTGGAATTTTCACAGCTGGTCATCATGCACCTATGTCCTATTTGGGACATTTTTAAAGCCGGCAAATGTAATTTACCCCTATCAAACCATCTATTTTTTTTTTTTTAAAATAGACACCCTAGGGTGTTTCAAATGGTGGTATTTTAACACTCTCCATGCACTAATTCTACCACCAGTCTTTTTCAAACTTTTGGGTAGTCATTTTTTATTTTTCTTTAACATTGTACTTTAGACATGGATTCTCAGTTCCTGTGATGTGTTAATTTCACCCCAATATGTGTTCAGCAAAATCTCCTGAGAACAACAGTACCCCCAATTTACAGGTTTTGTGTTTTTTTTTTTTTTTTTCATACTTACAGGGGTCAAACGTAGGGCTTTCCCCTTTTCCATGTTTGCACATTGAAATTCGCCAGATTAGTTTGCTGGGCCTATGTTGCCTTTGAGACTGTATGGCACCCCAGGAATAAAAATTAACTCCATCATGGCATACCATTTGTAAAAGAAGACAACCCACAGTATTCAAAATGGGGTATGTCCAGTCTTTTTTAGTAGCCACTTAGTCACAAACCCTGGCCAAAATTAGTGTCTATATTAGTTTTTTTGCATTTTTCACACATAAACTGCCATTTCACCGATGATATGTATTATACTGATAATTTTACTACTCTAAAACACTCATATTTTTGTAGAGTAATATCTCACAAGTACAACAAGTAATATCTCACAAGTATAGGTTTATGGTGATTTGGAAAGTTACAGGGTCAAACATAAGAGATACCAATTTCTGTTTTTGTAAATTGCTATTTGCCAAATTGGCTATGTTGCATTTGAGATGGTATAGCAGCCAAGAAATGAAAATTAAACCCACCATGACGTACCATTTGAAAAAGAAGACAACCCAGGGTATGCAAAATGGGGTATGTCCAGTCTTTTGTAGTAGCCACGTAACCACAAACGATTGCCAAAGTTAGCGTTCATATTTGTTTTTTGCATTATTTTAAACAAAAAGTTCACTTTTACTAGTGATATCGTCGTGATCAGTTTAACTTTTTAAAACTCATATCTGTGTTCAGGGAAGTCTCCTGAGTATAACAATACCCCCCCATCTAAAGGTTTTATGGTGTTCTGGAAAGTTACAGGGTTAAATATAGGGCTTGCCAATTAAATTCTCTGGACAGTCTGCCTGGGTTGTCCGGTAGGGCCCTCAAATGATTAATAAAATCAAATAATGATATAGTTAATAGTTAAGTGTGTGTGTGTGTGTGTGTGTGTGTGTGTGTGTGTGTATGTAAAAATACTTTTTTTAAATTTACTATATATATATATATATATATATATATATATATATATATATAATATATATACACACACTTTTATTTCCTATAAATGTATAATATAATGTAAAATAATTAAAGCATTATATAATTACATTAGAAGTGTATTTTGAGAGATGTGTATATATCTCAAAGTACACTTATAATGAAATCCTATATATGTACAATATATTATAAAATGTGTTTAATTATTTTATTAAATATTTATCAGACAGTCCCCCTGTCGGCAGCTCCATAGACTCCTATTGCGGCCATGTCGCAGAAGCGCCTCTAGCGGCTGTCAGGTCACTTAAGGTTCTCTTAAACTACTATGTTTACATGTGAAGGGTTAAAAGCTAGTGTCCCTTTAAAAATAAAAATAAAAATAACATTTATAATGAAAAATGTACACTACAAGTACTTAATACTTATTTTTGCTGATCCAAGTGCAAGGAGCAGAAGAAAGCTCTTCCAAGACAGGGAATAGTTTGCACCAATCAGGAGCCTCTCAGTCTGGTCTAAAAACCCTATAGAGGACATGGCTTTATAGCATATGATGTTCAGTTTCCAGGAGCAATTCCATTCATCTGATCTGATGAGTAGAACTGCAGACTAACTTCACAAGGGCCATACCACATCTGCTCTCTCTCAACCCTATTCTATTTTTTACGCAACCCTGTGTACTGTGTTCACCTAGAAGCCAACTGTACATGCTTACAGCCTGAACTCGTTTTTTTTTTTTTTTTAAGAGCCAGACATGGGAAGCTTGCAAATATATGCACAATATAAAAAGTGTTTTTAGTGACCGTATTAATATTGGAATGAAAAGGGGGCAAAGTTATAGGTTGGGTGATTTATTACCGCTTGGTACAGCTACTATGGAGACCGGGGATATTTTATAACAGAACTGTTGTTTTTTCTTTTTTGTTTTTTTTTTTCTGTTATTTAACTGTTGTTTTAGATAATGCAAACTAGGTCACCTCAAACTGTATGTGGGATTTTTATTAATTCTCTTTGGAGATGACTTGGATTTGTGTCTCAGATGACTTCAGCTGAACTCATACTTACAAATAAATAATTAGAATAACCAGGAGGGCAGTCCTGGACCGCGAACTAAAGTCAATGGCCATTGTAAGTCACCTGCTATCCAACTCCTTGAAATAAGGAATAACCCTTATAGATATAAACACAAGAAAAACAGGGTCCCTCTGCTGCTTCCAAGGGATCCTAAGGAGGAAGATAAATGAGGGATCAGGAAGCCCTACCTTTATTGAAATCTAAGGTGATATACAGGAGAAGTAGATAAATAGTCCAATAAATATGAAAAAGGGAAAAATTGTAGTAAGGTGCTATGAGGGTATATCTATCAATCAGTCTCCGCAAGACACACAAAAAAATCTGTATTATCAAGACCATAAACCACCATAGAATCTCGAGTCGCACAACAAAAATGAGAGGTAGGGCAAAGAGGTAAGGAGTATTGGCTCTGCTTAGCCGAATGTTTTCCGGACCACTGCCTTTGATCTCTTCCTCGTTCCAGGTGGTGAACTGTTTCTGCTACATCCAACTAGTGTGCTTCTAAATTTCCTTGTAAATCTATCTTCATTTGGGTATGACTGTCTCATGTTTTGGTAGTGAAAATGCTCTGCTAGAGATGTAAGTGTTGTCTGTCATGTTATTGTGGATTAACTATTTTTTGAACTTTATTGATTTCAGAGGGATGGGGAATATACGCTTCACACTCGCTGCCTGATGGAAATGGAACACTATATGCGAAACAATTACCCAGATTTGATGAAAATTTGCAATATTTGCCGTGACATAACAATTCAGGTAATGTTTTCTTCTGTGACCTAAAAATGTAATAAATTATATGAAATCTGAGGATTTTAAAGAGTAGCATTTAAAGATTTTATACACTGATCAGCCACAACTTTAAAACCACTGACAGGTGAAGCAAATAACATTGATTATATTGTTACATCAGTCAAGGGGTGAGATATATTAGGCAGAAAGTGAACAGTCAGTTCTTGAAATTCACGTGTTGGAAGTAGGAAAAATGGGCAAGTGATAAGATCTGAATGACTTTGAAAAGGACCAAATAGTGATGACTAGATACTGGGCCAGAGCATCTCCAAAACGGAAATGTTCCCGGTATGCAGTGGTTAGTACCTACCAAAAGTGGTGCAAGGAAGGACAACCGGTGAACCGGCATCAGGGTCATGGGTGCCCAAGGCTCATTGATGCATGTGGGGAGCAAAGGGTAGCGCTTCTTGTCATATTACGCAAAAGAGCTACAGTAGCTCAAATTGCTGAAAAACTTAATGCTGGACATGATAGAAATGTGTCAGAACACACAGTGCATCACAGTTTGCTGCATATGGGGCTACGTAGTCACAGACCGGTCAGAATGTCCATGATGACTCCTGTTCACTGCTGAAAGCACCTTCAATGTGAGTGTCAGAACTGGACAATAGAGCAATGGAAGAAGGTTGCCTGGTCAGATGAATCACATTTTTATTTTAGATCAGGTGAATGGCTGGGTTTTTGTGCATTGTTTACTTGGGGAAGAGATGGTGACAGGATGCACTATGGGAAGGAGGCAGGCTGTCGGAGGCATTATTATGCTCTGGGGAATGTTCTGCTGGGAAACCTTGTGTCCTGGCATTCTTGTGAATGTTACTTTGACACCTACCTAGAGATGATTGCAGACCATGTTACATCCCTTCATGGCAATTGTGGTTCCCTGATGGCAGTGGCATCTTTCAGCAGGATAATGCACCTGCCACATTTCAGAATTTTTTCAGGAATGGTTTAAGGAACATGACAAAGAGTTCAAGGTCAATGAAGTGGTCTGGGTGCCAGGTCCCTCTAGTTTTAACCCTGCAGCTGAAAACATAGCAGTTTCAGAGAAACTGCTATGTTTCACTGAGGGTTAATCCAGCCTCTAGTGGCTCTCACGGAGAGCTGCTAGAGGCCACTTCCGCGATTCTCACTGTGAAAATCAGTGAGAAGACACTGACGTCCATAGGAAAGCATTGAGTAATGCTTTCCTATGCGTGTTTTTAATGCGCACGCGGCTCTGGCCACGCATGCGCATTCGGCTCCACTCGTGAGCCAACGTTGGAGGGGGAGGAGAGGTCACCAGCGCTGAGGGAGCCCGGTGCTGGAGAAAGGTTATTGGCTGAAGGGGTTTTAACCCATTCAGCCCAGCGGGAGGGGGGCCCTTAGGGTGGGGGGGACCTAAGGACTATTTAGTGCCAGGATAACGAGTTTGTCCTTTAAAGGAATCTGCTGCTAATGTCTTGGTGCCTGATACCAGGACACGTTCAGAGGTCTTGAGTCCATGCCTCGACGCATCAAAATGTTTTTTGTATTTAGAGATTGAGGGGGACTTACACGATATTAGGTAGGTGGTTCTAATGTTGTAGCTGATCAGTGTGTGATTTTAATTGAAAGAACACATTTTGAGAAGTTTTAATACACGTGTTATGAAACGTTCTCCATTTTCGTCGTAATGGTGTGGAGGGGAATTATGTATGTAGATGTAAAATAACAGATGAAATTAGTAACTTGTAATACATTTTATATTGGAATAACAGAATTTAGGAATGACAAGTTTTTGGGAGATTCTCCCTTTCTGAAGTCTAAGGCACTTTAAAATGCTTTAAGGACCAAATGCTACATTATGCTGTCATTGCCTCCTTATTTTAGCTTATTTACTTAATTATTTAGCTCCAGCCCTACAGAAAGTAACTCAATGGGTAATTCTATTTCAGAATAGGATCCTTAAAAAGAACAAGTAATTCTGAGGACTGCCATTGGTCATTAAGACCAGTGAAATGCAGAAGAGACAAGTCTCATTACATATGCATGTAGCTGTGATCTTATTTTGAAGTACTATCTTATATAAAAGCCTTTAATAATTTACCTTTTACAGCTCTTTTAGATGTCTGATATGTGATACTGTCATTGACCAGAACATATACGGATAAAAATGTATTAGTCCCAGTCTGATATAAAGTTAGACTGTTATGCTTTCAAAGGTTTTTAACTCATCAAGTACATTATTCATGTATTTTCTTTAAGTATATCTTGTGTATCTACCGTAGTGTTGATACATATTGTATTTTTAGAATAGTTTGATATTCCTGTCTTACGGATCCCTTTATAATGTCCTTTCTAAAGAGCCAGGCTTGTGTTGTCTGTGGGATCTACATTCACCTACCATGTGTGGAGAAGTACTTTAAAGGACATGCAGAGCCTCGTTGTCCTCACTGCAGTGAACCGTGGGCTCATGAAATTCCAGGTTAGTTGGTTATATATGGTGGGTTTGTTTTCATTTTGTAGATGGTACTTCAGTTGTTCTGTGCTACGTGAATTTAGTACATACCACTCAAAATCATTTTGTTTTGCACCTTTGGTAGTTTCAGGTGCTTGATGGTTGTTAAAAAAAATAAACACATTCTTTTTTTTTTTTTTGTAAGAAGTACCTGAATATACCTCATAAAAGCAACAACCTTCATAGATAGTTTGTTACAAAATATGAGATTTTTCCGACCCGTGGAGATCACTACCCTAAAAGCATTATCCAAAGGCCATTGGGTACATGTCAGTTGTCCATTGCATGGGTACCAATATGTTACCCAACCTGTGCCCAAGATAATAGTTATAGTAGCCATTACATGATTTATTATATTTTTCGGTCAATATGATTAGGATTTTGCATATATTCACATTGCTATGTTCTGTCACAATTGTCTTCTGGAAAGAAGATCACTTATTTCCCATAATGCCTATGGCTGCTGTGATATACTTATGAATAAGCGTGACGTCACAGAATGTGAAGGTATAAGAGTCAGGATGTAAAATTCTCGGCTCTCATACCCATACTTGAGCCGTGCTTCCAAGCCCTCTAATTAGTGAACTAAAGGATTTTCACGGCAAGGAGAGGGGGGCAGGACTGCAGGTACTATAACAACTTCAATATAATGAAGTTGTTAAAGTGTCTCTTTAAATTTAGATACAGATTTCAACCATCTGGCAACACTGACATATTTCTAGCTTGTTTTGGTCAAGAATTGCAAGTACTGAAAATGATTAAATACTATGAAGGATGTCTGGATTTTGCAGTCTGCATGGCCCTGTATTGAACCGGTTGGTTTTGCCTCATTCGGTACAGGGTCATTTGGAGTTTACACTGCACTACAGCACACTCTTTTAGTGTATATCTGAGTCATTAAGGTAAGAGTCATCATGTCTCTGATTTGCTTTATTAAAAAAAAACTGCTTGCATAAAAGGTTGTCGTTTTTTTTGTTTGTTTTTTTTTTGTCCAGAGCTGTACTTATTCTAAACCCTTGCTTATCCACACAGATTTAAACCAGGCTGATTCTCAAAGTTCACCGATACCCTCCACTTCGAAAAATGGCCAAGTTCAGACCCAAGAGAGAAGATTATCCAAAACTCAATCGAACTTAAGGAGCAGACGATAAGAACAAACTTAGATACATTCTTTTGAAGAGAGCTCAGGGAGTTTTACAGGGTTATTCACTGAAGTAAATTTCAAATTGAAGGCCACAGCAGCTGAAATGGAGACACGGCTGAGTTTGCGAAATTTTTCCAATTTGGCTAGTTTGAGCTTAAATTTGAAATTGATTTTGAATTCTCACTTTGGTGCATAACCCTGCTAGTGTTTTTCCCTCTCTATCTATCAAAGCCATACAATTTACATTTTCGTATTATTGTTAGAACCTGCTCACAGTCCGTCACAGTTTAACCCGTTGCTTCTAAAGAACTGGTATTTGTTTTGACGTCAATGAGCATTCCTTAGTTTTGTACTTTGCAGAAAGAAAGAACAATTGCAATAAAATAGATTTAACAATGTGAATGCAGTTGTTGCAGCAAAAGTCGTATTCAGCTGTGCACACCTACTAGATAGTCATGTGATGAAGCCAGACTTCCCTATTCTGTGTGCACCTATAAAGTTTAATTAGATTTGTTGAAAACAACTTCTTAACCTGTTACCATCACATTGTGCCTATAACAAGTTCACCTCTATAGATGTTCTGGCACTGTTGCCGGCAATTGTATTTTTAAAAAAAGAGACACTTGGGTAAAGATTGTGTCTTCTTCGAACACGTGTGTCCAGAAATGGATGGGTAGGCTGTGTGCCTTCCCCCCCCCCAAACGTTACCCTGAACGACAATTGGAGCATCCCACAAATCATGCAAGTAAGGCTGAAAAAGAAAAAAATATTTCTTTATAAAATGTCGACAAGTCATGTTGGCACCATGGAAGCACTTCGAAGTGGCAGTAAATTGGAACTATACAAAAATAGTACTAAAATCAAAGCTCAAATAGCCAAAGGGGAATTGTATACAGATCTTTTTGTGACATTTAAGGGTCAAGGGGAGATGATGTAGAAGGTAAAAGAGCTCTACATGGGCAGAATAAGAAAGTGATACGCATAAAGTAGCTGAGATGCGGAAAGCAATGATATGACAAAAAGATGGTCTGAGTTTCCGTCAGGACCATTTGTTCAACAGATTCAACATGCAATCCATGTTTAATGGTAAATGTTTAGTATTATTAAAGTTACTTTATTTATTTTTAAGCATTAGATGGATTGGAAGCCTGGCAATTTTTCTCATATGGATTTTTTTGATGTTTTCCATAATAAACTTACTTTTAGTGGGAGTGCATCTTGTCACCCTAATATATATGGTTTGGAATTCAAAGTGTTATTTGCATATGAATGTGTCCATTGTGTTCTGTTGGAGAACTAGAATGAGAGGTATATAAAGGAGGACACTATTGTACCTGTCAGTTTATTTTCGGCATAGTTGGCCTGACCCTATTTTCAGGAATCGAGCTATATGGGTGTGCAGAATATCCTCCCAAAAGCAGTTTTTCTGCTGTCTATTACAGCAACAACAGCGAATTCACTGTATTTGTGCATCTCACACTTTGTTAGAGGACCATATAAATGTAGTGACATATTCTCTGCTATGATGATGATGTACTGGCAATGAAGCTAACATGTCAACATGTTGGGATAGGTGCACTCTAATTCGGGAAGATTCCCCCAAGCAGGTCTATTCCTGTAGGCAAGGAGTACCAATATATCACAATGCCTAAAAGTGGGCTCCCAGCACTGAAGAGAAATATTTCATTAACATCTTCTAAAGCAATTAAGTATCTAATTTTAGCTTTGTAATAAATGATATATTCTTTACTTATGAAGATTTTATAAGTTAACGTACACTCTAACTCCTCTAGATTGTAAGCTTGTTCGATCAGGGTCTTCATTAATATGTTGTTCCTGTCAAAATCTGTAATAGTTTCTCATTTGTTCAAAAGAAATAAAAACAAGGTTCCTTAAGACCCAATAAATCCTTGAAGTGGGGGAACAAGATAATACAAAAAAATGAAAGCCCTATCCTTTATTGAAAATTAAGGGTGATATGATCAAAATAACTTCAAAAATGTAATTACACAAAATACCCCAAAAAATAAAAGGGATCTTTCAAACAGCAAAAGACAACAAATACTACAATTTGTCAATGCATACAACAGTAGCGGACTACTGCCACAACAATGAGTGTATAGGATCCAAGTGGTTAGCAGGATGATTGACCGTTTATTCAAATGACAGCTATATGTTGGAGGGATGAACGGAAGAGATATAAAGTCCCCCTGCACTTGTAAAATTAGTAATACCAGAACTCCTACCGAAATTGTGAAATAATGTGAACACCCAATTTAAAGAACACATCTTTATAGACCCAGTCATTTAACAAATGGAATGCTCAACTGAACTTCCAAACCTGCATTAAGCAGAACGTTTTATGCTGGCATAATGTCTTTCGGGGTGAGATTAGGAATACCTCAAAATACAATATTTGGTTCTTAAGGTGTTAAGACTTATGCAAAGCATGTCCACACAGTCTTTGTGTATTTTTCATGTACTTATTGACATGTTCACGGGAGGAATCCATAAAGCCAAATCCTTGATTATTTCCTCTTACGATAACTCTACAGAGCTGTAATTCACAATAGAATTTGCAGTTTATTCTTATGTAAAACCGAACAAACTAGATTCTACAATTTAAGGCTGCATTTTGTCTCCTTGCTTTCCGATTTAAAATGACTGACATTCGTGTACAAAAGAGAGAGCAGACAGCTGTTACGGAATGCAGTTTTATAACTTTGTATTCAATTTTTTTTTCTGAGATAAAGAGAAACATTTTCTCCTGTGTGGTCTTGTTTGGCTACTGTGTTTTACAACCTTGGTTACGATGTTGCCAGTAGCTGGCTATCAGCAGTGGAATTTACTAATTAATTTGAACATGTTTTTAGAAGGGTTGATAGGCAAGAAGTAAAGTACAATTAACTAATAATACTCACTTCTCCCCCTTGCAGAAAACTCATTAAATCTATATCGTATGGGCTTGCGTTAAAATAATATCTGGGATCCGGTTAAGTTTATCCCTCAATGTTCAACTCCCCAATGGTTTCTTGGTGTAATCAAACTTTTTTTTTTTTTTTTTAAATCAATGTATTCATGAACACTCTAGTTCTGGCAGTCCCAATGTCACACAAATACACACACCGCAATCAGGTTGTGTATTTACTTGTAAAATGTGTAGATTTACCGTTGCCTGACCAGAGCTGTCAATCAAGTTACACAGCAGAGGCAGACCATTAACAATCTAGTGATGCATTCAAAAGGAGATAATCCTAAAAATAATTTTGAAATAGTACAAGACAAGTTTGCGTTACTCTAATAACGTGCCAGAGCTTCTTTAACCCCTTAAGGACCAAACTTCTGGAATAAAAGGGAATCATGACATGTCATGTGTCCTTAAGGGGTTAAACATAGATGTGTTCATAAAGAAAAATTTTTTTTTAAAAAGATGACAAATTAACTTTGCCCAGCAATGCCGAAAATCTCCTTTTCTGTTCTTGTACAAAGCCTTCTGGTGCTTATCCAATACGCCCTTTCCATGTCTTTCATGCAGGTCCATGGGAGTAGAGGATGTCTGAAGTAGTATTATCCATATATTACTCCCATGCAGGTCCATGGGAGTAGAGGATGTCTGAAGTAGTATTATCCATATATTATCCATGTCTTCCATGCAGGTCCATGGGAGTAGAGGATGTCTGAAGTAGTATTATCCAGTACTATCTTAATAGTTAAGTATTTAGTGTATGGCAAATCCAGAGCTTAAAGGGCTACTCCAATGAACATAACCATACAACCAACTGTTGTGATTACAATGGTAGGAGAACCCTGGCCCCATACCCTGTTAATGCGGCAAACTGTTTTGTAATGGATTGCCTTATTACCTGGGACCTGTCTGGCTCCTGCTCTTTTTTGAAGGCAGATTTATTAAATCAAGCATCTGCAGAGGAGGAGAAGCTGTATGCCAATCCTGCCGCTCATACATTGGCTGAAATTGTTAGCTGAGCATTTTCAGGCAAATGAATGAGTGTATCTCGATCGAAATTTGCACAGAATTAACTTTAGCCAGCATGGAACAATAGCTAATGACGCTGCCAAGGTGGGGAGTTACACCTCTGACAGCAGAAGGGTTAATCTCTGTATGTGCAGCACTGAAAAATGTAACACTGGATATACAGGCTCCAGGCACTATATCTACTTCAAATCACTGATGGCCATGGTGCCTGGAATAACTCTTTAAAGGGATAAACAGATTATTTGTATAGTGCAAGCAAATTCCATACCACAGAAGTAAAGGTATTTTTCTTTTGGAAGTCCTCAGGAGATATGTTTTATCATCACTGCAGTTTAAGTGAAAAAGTGATCCAAACACTTGAAAAACTTTGTGGCCATTTAAATCAATAGGATTTAAAGGGACACTATAAGCACCCATACCACTTCATTCCAAGGAAGCGGTCTAGGTGCCTCCACAGTTTTAAACCTACAGCTGTGTGTTCTGCAGAATGGCTATGTTTTCATGGCAGAGTTTAAATGCGTTTTGGGGGTGTCACTGAGCCGCTAGAGGCACTTCCAATTAAACAACTGGAGCTGACCTAAACCCCTCCTTTGGTCAAAGATGATGATGATCAAGCGTAGGAAAAATACAAAAGACACTTTATCCTATGTTTTAAAGAAAACTAGATCAGATAGGGAGAAAAGATGAAGATGCTGAGGAAAAGGAAGTTTAGGAAAAATATATAAGACACTTTATCTTATGTTTTAAAGAAAAGTAGATCAGATAGGGAGAAACAATGAAGATTCTGAGAGAGGAAGAAAAGAGGAAGTGATTGGGGACAGGTAAGTTTGGACTGACAGTGCCACTTTAAGAAGACTGGAATGGAAAATTGTTCCTTTTTATTAAAGATGGGAAAAAGACAGACATACCAATAACAGTTATATCTAGTACAGTATTAGTGAACATCAGTTATGTTTAATGTTTACTTCTGTTGAATAACTTTTTGTATTTTGGAATAAACCCAATCTACTCCAGGCGAAATGACTTTGTGTTGTGTTGTGTTTTTGAATAAGGGGCTAAGCAACAGAGATGAGTCTGCTTATCACTGATAATTTGTCAGGCTGTGGAAACGCTCATACAAAGAACCAAGTAAAGCAGAACGTTGCCATATACGGTATGGCTCTTTTTAATGTTGCAAGCCAGATGAGTGATCAAGGCACCATTTTATTAGCTTGAGCACAAATGTGTTTCAACTAGGACGAACGAATCAAATTCCTTTAAATCTCTGCACGTACGAACTGATTGTCTGGGGTTTACCTGTAGAGTCTTATTCATTGAGTAAGACTCCACAGGTAAGTCCTGGACAGATCAGTGAAATACATTTGATTCATTCATACCTCTTAAAACGCATTTGTGCACAAGTCTACCACAATAATTTAAATGGATGCCAATTCCCAATCTAATCTGATGTTCCATACAGAGAGTTCATAGATGACTGAACCTTGCAACATTAATGATTCAGTAGAAGTGGGTGTCTTTAAGTGTATAATCACTGAGTACTAGATACATTGCATGGGACTTCCATCTCAGAGTTTTTAGAGGGGATCTGTAACTCTGGTCTCCAACAACAAAAGTTTATAACATTATTATTTCTAAAGATCCCTCATTTATACATTAATTATTTCATATACAAATATACAATCTACTGGCACAGTGAGACTGCTGGGGCATAATCTGCTTTATTAAAGGGACAGCATAGTCACCAAAACAACTTTAACCTAATGAAGCAGTTTTTGTATGTAGATCATGTCCATGCAGTCTCACTGCTCAATTTTCTGTCATTTAGGAGTTAAATCAAATTTTGTTTCTGTTTATGCAGCCCTAGCCATACCTCCCCTGGCTGTAATTGACATGGCTTGCATGAAAACAAATTAGTTATTATTATGAATCAGATACAATGTTGGATCTTCTTCTCTGTGAATTGAACTTTAATTACATACAGTAGACTCCTGCAGGAACTAGCAATCTATTAACAGAGCAGGAGACATTCTAAGTTAGACAGAGTGTGCAATAAAAGTGTAAACATTGTGTGAATCTTTACAGAAAGTGTATAGGAAGATTGAGTAAGTCACCTGCAGGGAGGTGTGACTAGTGCTGTATAAGCAAAGTGATTTAACTCATAAATGGCAGAGAATTAAGCAGTGAGACTGCAGGGTCCTGATCTATACACCAAAACTGCTTCATTAAGCTAAATGTGTTTTGATGCCGATAGTGTCCCTTTAAGCCAAATTGTTTTAGTGCATATAGTGTCACATTTGGAGTGATGGAAAAGTGGAATAACGAAAATAATTTATATATAGTTGTAAGAATATGAAGTAGTTAACTTTTCTTGTTCATATGTATTTTATGCTTAGATAAGGTTTATAATCATTAGTGCTGACTGTAAGGATATGAAATAGTTAAACTCTTTTTGTTTTATATGCTTTAAAATAATGTTTGAAATAATTATGCTGACCTTGGCAGATGTATTCTATAACATGCTTTGAGAGGCCTCCCTTCTAAAGGATGTATGACCTCGCTCGACCTCAGGATGTTCCTGTCCCGTCTTTATTCAAATGATTATCTTTTAATGTCAGACAAGTATGTACTATTAACTACAAGGAAATGATAAATCTCGCTGCTTGCGTGACAAACTGTGTATAAATGCTAGCCCTGAAAATACACTCATTTGAGAATCTTGTTAAAGCACATTTGTGGTGTCCGTGTCTTTATTGTTAACAATGATTCTCCATCAATATTGATTATGGTGACCGGAGAATTGAGTGGAGTTGAGTCCAGAACAGCATTAACCCTTTCAATAGTGTTTCATGAATTCTTTGTGAGCCGAAGATTCATTAGTTCTGCTATATTCATGTACAAATTTCTATCTTTGTGATGAATATTGTAGTTACGATAAGACATGTTATCATTTGTATTTTTGCTGCTTCTTCATTCTATTATATAAAGGAATGGATGACGACTTATCCGGAGTAATGTTCAAAACAGTTCCTGGGAAACTAAATTTCTGATTGCCAAGGCATCTTGAGAAGAATTTGTCAATCTCACCATTCACTCTTCCTTCTACCCATGGTTTTGATTGTAATGTAACCAGCTAAACATGTCCACACGTATTAGAAACATTAAACAAAGGGCTAGATATGTCAAATGTCATAGCAAATGGAATATTTTCATTTTCTGGAGTGATTTTAGTATTTTTGCTGCCATTGCTTTGCTTGGGTCCGTTATCACTGTAATGCAATTACTTATTTTCCATGTTTTTATGTTTGCAATCTTCTAAAAGAGGTTCTGTTAAGTGTAAAGTTTCGAAACTAGAAGAAAATCTTTTTGCTTTAGTGTCCTCACAATGTATTTTCGTCTTATCTCTCAAGTAGTTGAATTTGCTAAATACACAAAGACGTGAGAGTTGAGCATCATTGGGAGAAGATTCCTTTTTTTGGAGTCCCTTATAAAAATTGTTAGAATAAATGATTTTGTCTACAATTTTTTTGTCCTGGCTTAAAAGGCAAACAAAAGATTTATACCCAGTGTCTAGCGCTGTAAAGTCTGTATTTCCAAGAGAGCATCCCACTGATACTTTCTCATGTTGAACAGTATTGGAATAAAGCTGATATTCGGATACTTTAACAGATACAGGATGTGTGTCTGCTGTATGGTATTGCATCAAATGAAAAGGTTTATACCCAAAATCTAAAACCGCAAAATCTTTACTTCCAAAAAGGCATCTTTTTGACATTTCTAGTTTGTCATAATCCTTTCTAAACTATGTCCTTTCTGCACTCGACACAACATTTGCAAAACTGCTGTATGTTATAGCCGTACACATATCAGTTTGAATTATATCATTTGAATAGTTTGTGTGAAGATTTTCTGCTCTCGTGTAGGTTTGATCACAAGAGCCATCATCATGGTGCATCAATTCCAGCCAATCTATTTTTTCTGGAAACATTATTGGTAGACTGGAAATGTCATTACCGAAAAAGCCTGATTCAGAGAATGTTTTAAACTCACTATCACATGGATTTCTATTACAGGAAATTAATTTGCACTGCTGTTCTTCTGTAAAAGATAACCCATCATTTATCATCCTATGGGATTCATTTTTCTTCGAGTTTGATGCTTCCTCCACTAATGGCCTTTCTCCTAAAATATCAAGGAATAATTTATGGATTGATGGATTATGGATTACATTCCAGCTGTATTCCTCATCTACTTCATATTCACTTCCGTTGGTTGTCTCATCATCTTCCAGAGGTAATATCTCAAAATATCTTTCAACAGATGTGTACTCTGGAGTAAGCACTAATGGTCGCCAGTCTTGACTTCCACAATTGGATTGGAGATTCTTAAAATCTATGCGGCTGTAAAAAATAAAATGTAAAGATAAACAAAGCATTAACAAAAAATAATGGGTTAAAATAATTTAAGACCATTACAGGTAAGTATCAGACTGATTCCTCGGATTACAGTCCTAGACTTTTTGTCATCATTTTTGTCAATCCATTCCACGTAATACAGCACTGCCCGTGCATACTTTGCTTTGCCCTTGGTATAAATCAGTTAAATTATCTCTGACTTATTTTCAATACTGCATTGTTATGGTTCTGTCTAGAAATGTAAGCCCTTTACAATTCCAGGGGAGACAAACCACCTTATTTCTGTCCTTTATCCCCTTTCTCTCTAACACCTCTACATCAGCTTGCTCGGTGATAGTTCTCATCTGCAGGCATGGGCGGACTAGTCGAGGGGCAACTGCTTCCCAGGCTGCTAGCAAAGGGGGTTGGCAAGTGGGTTTGTGGGCTGCAACCTAATACCAATTTTCTGACAATTGAAATAGCAGGACCTATATTGACATGTTTACATGGGTAAGGCCACTGGAATATCTCTTGGTACAATGTGTTGTCTGAAGCTGATCAGGCTGCCAACCTACAATGAGTATGCATGACACATGCCAGTTGGCTTTAGAGGCAAAGCAGTCAGTGGGAAACAGTCTTTGTGTCTCTACGGCAGTTGGAGATCTGTGTGAAGGCCCCATCATACTGTGCAGGTTGTACTGATGGAGACTGCATAGATATATGATGATTCACATTGATCACCTTCAACGGCCAACATCTGTGAAACCTGTATCCACTCAACAAAATTATAAACGCAACACTTTTGTTTTTGCCCCCATTTTTTTTCTATGTACACAAAAGGCCCATTTCTCTCAAATATTGTTCACAAATCTGTCTAAATCTGTGTTAGCGAGCACTTCTCCTTTGCCGAGATAATCCATCCACCTCACAGGTGTGGCATATCAAGATGCTGATAAGACAGCATGATTATTGCAAAGGTGTGCCTTAGGCTGGCCACAATAAAAGGCCACTCTAAAATGTGCAGTTTTATTACACCGCACAATGTCACAGATGCCGCAAGTTTTGAGGGAGATTGCAATTGGCATGCTGACTGCAGGAATATCCACCTGAGCTATAGCCCGTGAATTGAATGTTCATTTCTCTACCATAAGCCATCTCCAAAGGCGTTGCAGAGAATTTGGCAGTACATCCAACCAGCCTCACAACCCGCAGACCACGTGTAACCACACCAGCCCATGACATCCACATCCAGCATCTTCACCTCCAAGATCATCTGAGACCAGCCACGCGGACAGCTGCTGCAACAATCGGTTTGCATAACCAAAGAATTTCTGCACAGACTGTCAGAAATCGTCTCAGGGAAGCTCATCTGCATGCTCGTCATCCTCATCGGGGTCTCGACCTGACTACAGTTCGTCATCGTAACAGAACGACTGGAGTGGGAAAATGCTCACATTCAAAGGTGTCTGGCACTTTGGAGAGATGTTCTCTTTATGGATGAATACTTATTTTTCACTGTACAAGGCAGATGGCAGACAGTGTGTATGGTGTCGTGTGGGTGAGCGGTTTGCTGATGTCAATGTTGTGGATCGAGTGGCCCATGGTGGCGGTGGGGTTATGGTACGGGCAGGCGTATTTTATTGTCTCAGGTGGCAGTACAAAGACCGGGACCCCAAAGTGCCTGATGGATGATGATGATGGGAGTCTCAGCGTGGAAAGGATTATCAGGGTGTTGAGCACCCGCGTTTGTGCGGCCACATACCAGCACCCTGATGCCACAATCAACAACCTGATTGACTCTATGGGAAGGAGATGTGTTGCACTGCGTGAGGCAAATGGTGATCACACCAGATACTGACTGGTTTTCGGACCCTCCCAATACAGTAAAACTGCACATTTAGAGTGGCCTTTTATTGTGACCAGCCTAAGGCACACCTGTGCAATAATCATGCTGTCTGATCAGCATCTTGAAAAAAAAATATGGCTACAAAGTGTTGCGTTTATAATTTTTTCTACAAAGCCATGTTTCCGATTATTACAATCTCTGTAACTCTTCAACTAACTTGCTTTTATTGTTTGAAGCAATATAAAAAGTTCTATTAGGGATACATGATAGTTAGTGCTTCAACAGGGCTCCGTAAATTCTTCTATTCTGGGTGCCTGACACGTATACTTAATGCCCCCAACTTTTAGACAGGACTGCCCATTATGGTTGTTGTCAAGGATGTTCTAATTTCAATCTCATACCTTATGTGAGTGTCACCAATTATTAAAGTCTATTATTAAAAATGAATCTACTTTCTTGCATTATTTTATAATAAATCCCCAGCTATTTATCCAGATAGACATGGATAGATGAATGGATCAATAACAATATGATATCAAATGAAACCCTATATTTCTTTAAAACAATAAACAATATATATAACACTAATATATATATATACACACACACACACACACACACACACAGCAATTGGAAAATTATGGCTGAACAAACCCGTGGCCAAAAAAAAAACCAATTGCTTTTGTCCTTAAAGGGTACCTGTCATGCCACTTTGCACTTTCCAGAATTAAATTCTTCATTAGATTTCCTCTATACCTTTTGCTAGCGAAATCACTAGCAAATGTATAGATTTCTTCAGAAAACACTTCAAAACGCACATGCTCCTAGCTTTCCTGCAGACAGATTATCATCATAGACTATATGACAATGTCTGTCTGCAAAAGAACGCATCTCTTAGCGTTGTTAGGCCTTGCTTCAGTGGATTCCGCCACGTGGCTTTCCACACAGTGGCAGTCCAGAGAGAAGGATTTATACCGACGAAAGGGGATTAATGGAACTACTAAGAAGGAGGTGAGTATGCCAAAAACTCAACAAGCTCCATAGAAGGTGAATGATAAACTACAATGTTTGGTAAAAATACAGCACAAGGAAAAAGGGTCTAAATAAAGTAAAGATTTCAAACACAGGTACACTGTAAATAGAAAACAAACAAATATACTGTGTCCCTGAGGGATAAATCATTATAGAATGTTAGAATTCTAATTACTTTTAAACTAGTTCTTACCAAAATGGATTTGCATCTGGTTCTTTTCTTGTTTGTGCAAAGGCAACCGGACCAATGTTTGAAAATGCAAGCTACAGATCACAAGATAAGATAAAGCGGAAATTAGCATTGGACTGGAGTGACCTGGAGACAGGTGTAAAGAAGTTTGCAAATACTTTATTCAACAGCAAATCTCTAATCTAACTCCAATGGTTCATCAAAAATGACAAATGATCTCTTAGAAAAACAATGTTTATATTATCAAGATGATACCACACAATGGGTACCATCCCTACAAGAAAATTATAAATTATGTATTATGCAGCAATTGCAGTGATCTGCCAAGTTTGTTGTAGTAAATTGAAAAATCAATAGCTGAATTATATATTGCGTTTACAGTTGGCTGACTTATCTTTGTTAACACACATTTGCATAATGTGACATTATCTCAGGTATGAAATGGGCAGATTTCACAGACATGAAGTGAGATAAAGTGCTGACAAAAATGGGATTGAAGTTATATGTATGGGTGTGTACAAACCTGCGATGTGAATATGTTCGTGCCCAGTTTACTTTTTTTGGGATCCGGAACGCTATCCCACCATCGTTTTTTATATCTGTAAATGAAGAAGTTAAGATGATGTAAAGAAAAAACAAAAATTATCTATTTTAGAAGCAAAAATGAATACTGTATGCCTCATCAGAAAAAAGAAAACCCTTAAGTTCTCTAAAAAAATAAATCAACTCTGTACTGAGTTACCCAGCTCTCTGGAAGAGATTATTATATACACACATTAATTTATTGATAAATAGAGCCAGTCCTGGCATGATTAGACACACAAACGCGTTTTAACTGGTACGAACGAATCAAATGACTTAACACGTGCACGAATGAATCGATCCATCTGGGATGTATCGGTGGAGTCCTATTCAATTAATGAGGATTCACAGGTAAATCGTGGAAGGATCAATTTGTTCTAGCGCAGATTACAAGGCCTTTAAATTATACATACCAGCTGTAACACATTTGTACAGAAGTCTGTTGGTTAATTCACATGCTAATTAAGGCAATCAATAGCAGCTGCAATCCACAAGAGGTTAAAGAGAAACTATCAGTTGTCAGGATTTGTAATACCATGTTTACTTAATCCTAAATGTAACAAACAGGTATTTGAGAGGTATAAAAAATAAAATTAAATGTATAAATCCACATCTCTTTATCCTGGAGCTGGGTACCTCTATCTTAGGTCCCTGTTAATCACTGATTGTTATAAACTCGGTCCTGTGCACCTGGCGGTCAGCATAGAGAAAACGAGAAAAAAAAATGTTTCTATTTATCGTCCTCATTTACATTGTTTGCCCTGGCTTTGCCTTGTCTGAATTGGATTGTGATGACATTTTCTATCGTTAAAGTAACACTCCAAGCACCATAACCACAGCCTATGTGGGAATTGACAACTTACAGCTTCCTGTGTAGCCAGAACCTCTTGCGCCGAATTCTACTGAGCTAAGCTTTGCCATGTCGGGTTGGCACATTGACTGAGATCATCAGAGCTCAGCACTCTCAACCAATGAGCGAAGCCCTGCACCAACAGACCAAAGGTTAGTTGTCAAATAATTTACAAATTAAGTAGTGGTTATAGTGGTTGGAGTCTTCTTTTCCTTTAATATGAATTAAACAACAAACAAACAAACAAACAAAACAGGTCATCTAATGAAAAATGGTTAAGACAAGTTTAGGTGACATTCCAAATTTCCATTCAATGGTGTAAATTTCACAGAAGTGACAGATCCCTTTTATTAACACAGAGTTTCCACAATGGATAAATCTTTCTCTGATTCATTACTGGTGGATTCATTATGCAATTAGTTTGAGGATTGTTTTCGAAAAAAAAAGAAATGCCAACCAGTTTTGTTACGTATAGGCATTAGAATTATCTGGTTTAATTTCAAATTACAGTAATTCCTGGTAAAATATTTTATAAATAAATAATCTTTTTCCCTATCTCTGAGCTAGCATGTCACATAACTGTAAACATACATAAATAGGAAATATGGTTATGACGATTAAATTCAGCAACAATTATTTTCTGCCGGTCTTCTTACTAGAGAACTTAGATTTCATAAAATAACTTACATCTGGAAAGTTAAATATGAGTATTTTATAGGAGATACTTACCTGGTAATGCAAAAAAAGCTCAACACAATTGTCAGGAAAATCACAACACTGGGACCTACAGCAACCATGACTTCTTTTTGATATATAGGTAAACTGTAATCTGTAGACAAAAATTACATTTGTGTTATAATCTGACAGACTAATATTCAGTACATGTGGTATATTTTTAGGGTTTACAAAGCTTTAGGTAATTAAAAATGTAAAATATTTAAAGGGAAAGTCTGAACACCATATCCACTTCAGAATGCTGTAATTGTTATGATGCCTGGAGGCCCTTGTACCGTCCAGTTTTGGAATGGTTTGACACAGCTGGGACCCTCAGGTATGCCTCTTTTTTAAAAGACTATATATATATATATATATATATATTGTGATAAAGTGAAGGCAGATAGGCCTTTTAACCCCAGGGGAAGTACGTGTAGTTTGTGTGTTGCACAACACAAAGCATTGTTTAGTTATGGGCCCCTGGGGTGGAGCGTTTGGAGAGAAGGGTGGGCCAATGCTCCACTCCACAGTTTAGTGGTTTTCTGGGGAGACATAGATCCAGGCCAGGGTTTTTTGGACCGTCTCCAACCCACTGCTCAGCTGCAGTTAATGAGCTGTTGCAGTGGGAATAAACCCCTCCCTGCTAGGCAGGTAAAAGAGAGGGATTGCTGGCATCCTCCCAGGAAGCAGGTAGGAGAGAGGCTGTTCTCTCCAGATAGAGAGTCAAGGAGACTAGGCACTGGGAGTGCAGAAAGGAAGCAGTCAAGGCTGGCTTGGAGCACAGTCCCACAGTCAGATGCACACAGTTATACATATACACTGTCAAATCCACCACATGCACATAGTCGCAGGAAGATACGCACAGGTACAGGCAGTAACACACACACAATTACAGGCAGTCACACACACGCAGCCACACATACAGTCTTACACGCACATACTTACATGCAGACAGTCACACACAGAGGCAGACAGCCTCACACACACAGGCAGTCACACACACACACAGGCAGTCACACACACACACACAGGCAGACAGTCACACACACAGACACACAGGCAGACAGTCACACACACGCAGACAGTTATACACACACACAGCCAGTCACACACACACACAGTCATACACACACAGACACACAGGCAGACAGTCATACACACACACACACACACAGGCAGTCACACACACAGGCAGCCAGTCATACACACACACACACACACACACACACACACAGTCACATTCACACTGACAATCACACATAGTTACCTCTGTTCATTGTGGAGGCAGTGCAGCTCATGGAGACTGTGTGTTGGGGAAGCAGGGGCTCCTTTCTGCTTCCCCTGTAGCAGTTATCCTGCACTTTTAGCTCCGCCCCCGCCATCAGTTATGCTCCGCCCCCACCGTCAGTTATGCTCCGCCCGGCCGCACGGGAAGCTCTGCCCCATCACAAATTTTTTTTAATCCCTGCCGGTCATGTGTGAGCTGTGACGGCTGCAGGGTGCCCCCTGCTCCATGGCGCCCTGTGCGGCCGCACAGCTCACACACCCCTAAGGCCGGGCATGAATAATTTTATGTCTAATGTCGTATTTCTTATTTTTGTGGAGATGGGTGAATGTTTGAGCCGGCGCCATATGGCCGTACGTTACACACCCAAAGCATCTTACACTGCCCCTGTTATGTGTCTGGGTATAATCTTCATAACTGTTTACTGGATCCGTGTGTACCAATAAATCACACCCTAAAAATCTTACCTTCATGGGTATTGCCACTGTCAAATCTCACTGGAGAGGAGGTGATTTTATTAAAAAAATAGGACGGACAGAGATGGAATGGGTCTATAATATGAATACCTTACACCCAGATGGCTTAAACATAGAATTCGATTTATTTAATTTTTTATAAATAATTTTTTTAATTTAAAATTTTTTTTTTTTTTTTTTTTTTTTTTTTTTTTTTTTTTTTTTTTCCCCTCCCATCTCATTTTACACCCTCCTATTTTTTCCATTCACTGCATTCCCTTATTATTTTACTATTGTCAGTTTTATTGTATTTTTATGTGATCTTATATATATATTTATTATTATTTTTTTATGTCATACATCTTACTTCATCGCTCTCTTTACAAATTGGACTACGAGCATATTTACAATGGATTATTGGAAGTCTAAGACTGTTTTTAGAAAAAGGATGTTATGGACTGCACATATCTTAATTTTTTCATCAAATAAGAAAAGACGTTGTGCTATTTCTACATACGGATGAAACACTTTTTGTGCACTGCTGGATGTCAGGATTATTTGGCTATGAACTTTGAGAACTTTCTATTTTATTTTTTATTTTTTTTATATAACCATATTTTTCTATTTTTTGTTGCCTATACATATGTTTTTATTAGACATAATACCTTTTGTATAATGCATGACACCTGAATAGTTTGGTATGAGTATATTTTTTCTGTTTGTTTCTTTGTCTATGTGTAAATTGGCTTATTTTGTTATTTGCACATATGTTGCACCTTAACAATATGTTTGTATCTATCTCTTTATTTATGTAAAGATTGGCATTTTTTGTTATCTGCACATATGTTGCACTTGAACAATATTTATGCATTGGTTTTTATTTATGTGAAGATTGTTCTTCTTGTCTTTTGCACATATGTTGTATTTCAACAAATCTTTGTCTTTGCCTCTTGCTGAGCCATCTATTACGGCCGCGGCCACTATGCGTTCCATGGTGGAACGCATGCCTGCACCTTTACTATGTGAGTGCCGCGCCATTTCCGGCGCGACGCGTGCGTCCCGCCACTATGCGTTCCATGGTGGAACGCATGCCTAAATTTTTACTATGTGAAGTGCCGCGCCATTTCCGGCGCGACGCGTGCGTCTCGCGGTGAATAAGGCTACACACGCGAACGCCGCGTCGCTTCCGGTTTGGACGCGTGCGTTCCACGCTGGTTACTTACACCCACGTGGTCGCCGCACTATTTCCGGTCTCTGCCCACGAGCGGTCTGTTTGTCCGAGGCACACCAGGATTACATTATCAATCATGTTCACTATGTAAGTTACATATTTAAAGGAAGTTTTTTGATGTATGTTTTTTACACTTCTGATGAAGCCATTGGCGAAACGCGTTAAGTGTTATTTTATATAGCTTTTATTTTATTCTGTTTGTTACATTATTAAATATATATCTTTTAAAGCTATATTCCACTTTATTATATTTTATTTGCACCATCTTACTTCCTGGCCTGTATATCCTACAGTGGGGATTATACCACTGCAAGCCTTATAAACTAGAGCAAGTTTTCTGCTCTAGTAAATGTGAGTATATATATTTCTATTTATCCATTTATACTTGAAGTTGGAACTATTACACTATTGGAGTTTCTTGTTTTCCATTTTTATCTGCACTACTACACCATTGGAGTACCTAAGACGTTGGACTTCTTATCCTAAGACGGGGATTGTACCGTCCATGCCAATTATGGTAGAGCTCCCACAGTAGCTCTACCAAATGTGAGTGAAAAATACCTCTGTTTTATTTATCACTTTTTCCTAATATTATTTAACATACTACACTATTGTATATACTCTGTTTTCTTTTTGAGGATAAATTATCCGAAACTACTAAGAGACATCAAGTGTATGTATATATAATTTATGTAAGGCGCGGTTTCCTCCTTTTTTTCCAATAAATCACACCGGCTTTTATTTCTCCTATGACAAATCAATGGAGGTTCTTTAAAAACCTTTGGCAATGTGTCATCACGTGACAAAATTTTCCAGTTAGTTTTTACTATAGTGGACAACTTTGGGGTAGCTTGGTTGTAGGTCATTGGAAAAATCATCCTTGGTGTATCCTTTGCCATTCTTAAAGTTGGCTGTTGTATCCACGTTTAAGGAATTTCTCTGTCATTTGTTAAAGCTGGTTTTCCATCGCTTTTTCTTTCAAGTTATTGCGCATAACCCAAAGATATTGTGCCTTTGGTAATGAGTTCTCGAGTGTAACCGGATGTGCAATATGGTGTTACGGCCAGTTGGCTCGGTAAAAAGACTGTATGTGACCACCTGTTCCACCACCGACATTTCTAGATCCAGGTATTGTATTTTGTCCATACTAATTTGAGCTGTCATCCTAATAGGGGTTGGGAAGTGGTTGACATACTCCACCATGGCATGTGCTTCCAATTGGCCTCCTCTCCAGAATATCAAGAGGTCATCTATATACTTATAATATCTGAATATATTTTGTTTAAATTTGGTTAGTATGTGTTCCTCTTCAAAGACATACATATACGCATTTGCGAACATGGGGGCCATCGCTGCCCCCATTGATGTACCGGAGATCAGTAAGAACCACTGTTGTTCAAATCGGAAATAATTGTTATTCAATGTAAGAGCCAATATCTCCAATACAAATTCTATGGGTGGACCTTTATATACTGTAGATGTTGTCAATACGCTTCTCATTGCCTCTATTCCCTGTTCATTGGGGATGACTGTATAGAGGCTGTTGACGTCCATGGTGATGAGGACAGGTGTGGCCATTCCAAATTCCAACTGTGTCATTTTGGATATGAATGTAGGAGTATCCTTTACGCACGTATATAAGCTTTCTACCGATTCTTTGAACAGATGATCCAGCCATTTTGCAAGGGGTTCAAGTATTCCTCCAATTGCTAATACTATTGGACGCCCTGGGTGTGTTTGTGGAATTTTTGTGGATTTTTGGTATACTATATATCATTGGGGTACGTGGATTTTTCTTTGATAAATACTGATACAACTGTGTGTCAATATATCCTCCTCGTACTCCTATAGATAGTACATGCTCTATCTTCCATTCAATTTCCCTGGTAGGGTCTCCCGGTAGTGGCTGGTATGTATTCACATCTTGTAGTTGACTCCTCAATTCATGTACAAGATTGGAATAATCCATGATTACACTGCCTACACCTTTATCCACCTGAGTTTACATTGTTGTTTGGAGATATTAGGTGATTATTACTTATTATCACATTATCTTATATGATCGCTATAATTAGTGAGTTTAGGCATTTGATACACTTTATGTCTTAAATGCATATATCACTTTATTACTCACTATCCTCATCCATCCCCTACCTGAACCATATTGCGCACGGCACTTATCACTTTCACGACAATTACTACCGTATTTTCCATGTACGGTATTAAGTCTAAAGGAGTTTATGGACATATACTGTATGGGCACATTTGCACTTTGTAACATTAAGCCGAGTATAATATGCACTTTTATTAATCTTTAGCCTCTGGTATACACGGGTTTCCCTGGTGATGGCTTGTAGTAGAAGTTACCTCAACAACACTGGGTACGTCATCACGGAACACACACAGACGGCGTTAACGCATGAAGACTACATGTAAATCAGAATAGCTGCCTTAAGAACCCTCAAAAGCAGGTGATGAAAAGCTTTTGGAAATCCTGTTTTGGATCCCATATGAATTCAAGAATCACAAACATTCTATTAACTCTTAATACTACAAAAGTTAAATGAAAGAAAAACTTTAAATAAAAAAAATAACTTTTAAAGTGTTTGCTTATTTCAAATATGCCCATAAATATAGTCATAATCAGAGACAGATCAGCTATATCCCTAAAATTGAACATAACCAGAGACAGATAACAGTACTGAAGATAGACATGAATAATGTATATAATCCAAATAAAAAATAATAAAAATATATTTTTTTAAATGATTAATGTTTCTAAAAATAAACATAAAAATAAAAATGTATTGATGATTAAATAAAATGTTAAAAAACAAATATATTTTTTGGGATATACCCATAAACTGTCTCTTGGTTCTTATTTGAATATTTTTATGGGTATCCAACCTAAAGTCTGTTTTGGCCTTATCATTCACTTCGACAGGAAGCATAATACAGATGACAACTCGATCATAAACAAATGTGATCATCACATAGTAATTCGATAAGTATCACTAACGTAAAACAGACAATATTTATTTTTAAGTGAAAAGACTAAATAGTGCATCTCTCTAGATATTGCATACATACACAATAATACTTAGAGTACCAATTTTGGGGTAAATATGAGATATAGTACTTAACACTCTCACTGCCAAAATAAATATGAACTAGTCTGGATAGCCTCAATATATATAGTCATAAAACAATAGGACAGAACCGATCAAACATGACTACAGGAAAAATTCATCAAACATCAAAAATATTTATACTTTATCCAAAACACAGCCTAAAACTGATCTACCTCATTTAGACCATTGGGGGCCATAGAGTTAAGTTTAAAAATCTACTTAGATTCTGCCACTGGTAGATTTATTTTCCTTTTAGCTAAATCTCTTTTGGCTTGAATTAATTCAATTCCCATCACCGAGATAGACATAGGATCACTATTGTGGAAAATTTCAAAGTGACGAGCGAGAGATCGTCCGTCTGTCATTAGGTAGAATGGCTAGCCTGTGTTCTCTGAATCTACATTTCAGTGGTCTGATGGTTTACCCCACATACTACAATCCACAAGTGCATGTCAGCAAATAAACAACAAACGAAGAGTTACAATTGATCCGGTGGGTGACAGTAAAAAACCTCCTCACTATTATCAGGTTTAAATGCAGAGTTATTATAACACAGAAAACCAAATGTTAGACATCTACCATGGCCACAACAGACATTTCCAATGATGGGATCTTTCTTTGCTGCACATATGGTACCAGACTTAAATTTGAAAGGAGCTAGTATGATTGGAAGCAGGGCCGGCATTAGGGGTGTGCGAGCTGTGCGGCCGCACAGGGCGCCATGGACCAGGGGGCGCCCTGACAGCTGATACATCTCACACAGGTGAGCAAAAAAAAAAAAACCCCAAAATGAGGGGGCGGGGCTTACCGAGCGGTGGGGCTTATCGTGAGGCGGCGGCGGGGCTTATACCTACCCAAAGTCCCTGGTAACTGCTGCACAGGAAGAGGGAAGCAGGAAGGAGTCCCTGCTTCCCCTATAACTAACTGCTTCCACTCTCCCTTCCAGCCAAAATGGAAAGAGGTAAGTCTGTGTGTGTGTGTATGTGTGTTTGCGTGTCTGCCTGCGTGTGACCGTTTGCCTGTTTGTGTGACTGTCTTTGTGTCTGCCTGCCTGCCTGTGTGTGTGTGTGTGACTGTCTGTGTGTGTGTGAGAGACTGTCTGTCTGTGTGTGTGTGACTGCCTGTGTGTGTGACTGTCTGCCTGCCTGCTTGTGTGTGACTGCCTGTGTGTGTGTGTGTGACTGTCTGCCTGTGTGTGTGTGCGTGTGACTGTCTACCTTTATGTGTGACTGTCTGCCTGACTGCCTGCCTGTGTGACTGCCTGCCTGTGTGTGTGTGACTGTCTGTCTGCGTGTGACGGTTTGCCTGTGTGTGTGTGTGACTGTCTGTGTTTGACTCCAATTGTGTGTGTCGCTGTAGCTGTGCCATTGTGTGTGCCTGTATGTCTGTAACCGAGTGTGTATGACGGTCTGCTTGTAAAGGAGTATGTCTGACTGTTTGTTTGTGACGGTGTGTGTGAGACTGTCTGCCTGTAACTGTGTGACTGTCTGCCTTTAACTGTGTGTTTGGCTCTGTGACTGTCTACCTGTAACTGAGCATGTGTGACTGTCTGCCTGTAACTGTTTGTTTGACTGTCTGCCTTTGCCTGTGTGTGTGACTGTATATATAAGGCAACTTGTTCAGGGGGGGCACCGTGAAGACTTTTCGCACAGGGCGCCTAATGACCTAAGGCCGGCCCTGAATGGAAGCTCTCCTAAAAGTAACCACCGGAACTAAATTTAAGCTAGAGATCAAGTTTAAAGACCGGCCAATATTTATGAAAGATGTTGATATCATTGTACCCTTGACTGAAGTTGGTAGAAAAAGTGGGAAATATGCAAGAGCCCACCTCCTTCGTACTGATATTGTACTTAGCCCTCTTATTACAGGAAACTCTAGATTCCACTAATATGCTGAAAATAGCTTCATGGTATCTGGTGTGACATATTGGTTCTGGTGTGCATGGCTCAGATTTAGCTCAGGTAGGATTAATGAGATCCTCTCTCTGCATCATCCCAGCTTTCAAATATGCTCTGAGGATGGGACCTGATGGATAAGCTTTCTCCACAAAAAGCTGGCAAAGTGAGAAGGACTCTCTCTCATAATCTGTCAGTGTGTGAAGAGTGAACAATTTTGACGTATCCTGATGAACTGCCCCAAAGTTACGTTTGCAATCTATGTTGGGTGGTGTCCACTCCCTGCGTGAAGAAAGGCATTTACATCAACTCTCTCTTTGATCCCTTTCCGGGGATTTGGGAACCTTGGGAAGGTAGTAAAGAAATGGGAATATCACAAGGGGCAGACAAGAAATATCTATTTTTTTGGTCCAGAGAGTCACTATTAAAGACCAAATCAATCAAATCTCTTAGTTTTTTTTTCTTCAAATGTTCTTGTGGGATCAGTGTTTCAAACCTGATAATACTCCACATTCCCCAGAATATTCAACGCCTCCTTCAAGTAATCTTCTTTATTAAGTATTATGATTCCACCTCCTTTGTCTGCCACTTTGATGACTAAATCATTATTATTCTTTAGAGTGTTAGTTGCCTCTAGTTCTTTATGGTTCAGATTATTGGTTCCACATCCTTTAGTCTTCTCCAGATTACATAGAATTCTCAAATCTCTCAGGACCAACTCATAAAAGGTTTGTATATAATTCCCCTTATCTGCTTGTGGGTAATATATAGATGGTGGTTTTACGCCTGAAGAGATATTGGCATTTACTACATCTTACGCATCTACTTCGAATTTGGGTTTGTCTTGTTTATCTAGGAAGTAAAGAAGAGTATGAAAAATAATTTTGTACTGTGGGTTAATGAATAACTCCGGGCAATCCTCGTTGCCATTACTATCCTTTATATTGAACGATCTAGTCACTGTGAGTTTTCTCACATAGTGATTTAAATCTTTAAAGAGCTCAAACATATTGGGTTTCTTATCAGATGCAAATTTCAATCCTTTATTTAATAAAGATATTTCACCTGGTTTCAATGTATATGAGGAAAGATTAAAAATGCCCTTGGTTAAACAAACCTCAATTTGGATGGGGTGTTTACCTCGTCCTCTTTTTCCCCTATGAGCGCTCCCCTCTTTCTGTTGATGATTTTCATAAAAAGCGAGAAAGTTTTGGAAGATTGGGCTATAGTTGCCCCTAAAAAATCCTCATTATCTTCCAAAGTATGTTCGTTGCTAGATTTTCTCAACTTATGTCTAGCCCCAAGCTCCGAAAAGGATTCATACACATTATTATGGGTAGAATTCTGTCCCACAAGCTCTTTCCATCTTTTTGGATTTATGGATGGGAATAAGATTAGGGTTATCTCTAACGTCTCTGTTAGAGCGAACATTGGGGAATCTCGTTTTATCTCTAACATATGTTAGAGTGAGCAGTGGGGGGTCTTATCTTTTGTGTGTATTGAGGTTCTCATCTTTCATTTTGTATTGAGGTATACATATATTCACACATTTTTTATTTATATATAATTATTTTTTTTTATATATATTTTTTAATATATATATATATATATTTTTTTTTTCATAATATCATTCTCCCTTTCCTCCCAACTTGCATTTTCAATCAATCACTTTCTGTATTGATAAGAACACATTTGCTACAAAGGTATTTACAGTAAATTCATGAACTTCAGATGTCTGTCTTTTTTCATATTTTTAATTCGTTCATTTTTATTGCACTACCTACATACCGTAATACCTTTAAAATGGGTTAAATCCAGCATGGAGTGTCCTTTTAAATTCAGATTCAGAGCAATCCAAATCCAAACCAATATTCAGAATGTGACATTTTGAACTGCTCTGTTATGAGGCAAAATTTCTTAAAATGTTAATTCTTGGAATGAATTTACATAACTGTTATTTCTGTTTCCCAGCTGATCACACCAATTATGAAATTAATTGAAAATGGAAATATTTTGCATTTCAATGTGGCTACAAAAGTTGAAACTAATTATTTCATTTCATTCACACATTCTCATAATAATCCATCAAGGACGTATCCCATTACTTATAATAATCTAACAATTAATTTTCATACACAATGTGAATAAGTATTTGCACCGTTATGCTCATTACAGGGATTTAGAACAATGCTAACTGGTAGTGATGTCCCAAACTGTTCAACAAACTGTTCGCGAACGGTTCGCCACGAACTCCAGTCAGCAGACACATTCCAGCCAATCAGCAGCAGACCCTCCCAACTCCTGGACAGCATCCATTTTGAAGCTGCATTTTTAGTGAGCTGTCCAGGAGGTGGGAGGGTCTGGGAGGGAGGGTCTGCTGCTGATTGGCTGGAATGTGTCGGCTGACTGGAGTCCGCGGCAAACCATTCGGCGAACAGTTCGGGACATCACTACTAACTGGTGTCAAACAAAAACCCCTCAAATTACATCAATTCACAAGTACAACTTGATGCAAAGACAACACATTTTGAGACATGTTAAATTTAATAAACTCTCAGACTTTTAGTTAACCATGTTTTCTGTGAGCCTCCTGTAAGGAAGCCAGGTCCACCATGTTTTCTGAGATGTATATGATGTCTTGTCTTTTAAGGGACATTCCAAACCCCAAAGCACTTTAGTTTACTGGAAACTTTTATGTGTGAAGAGTGTGTCTTATCTTTTTCATTTTTCAAAAAGTGCAGATTTCAGTAGAAAATTACACTTTTATAAACTAAATTCATAACACCACCCTGGCTTTCAAGCAGACAACGGATCATGTTACTTCCTGATTTGGTTGGCTCAGTGGAGCTAAAGTCAAGAGGCAGCAATTGAACAGAGCCTTGCGAAGACTGAGCTGCATTGGGAAGTCTGATTGGACGATCACAGAAAATCTGGGCAGGGTTAGAAGGGAAGTCATACCGAAGCAGTAGATATTAGATTTGCAGCTATTACGAGCCAAGATTTCATATAATGCCAAAGAACAGATTTGAAAACCAAATAGCATGCATATTTTCCTTGTGGGATATGGTTACTTAACTTATTTCCTTTTTTTTTTTTTTTTTCCATCTCTAAGTTATCTATGCTTTCAGCTTGGCTACTCTGTCTTTAAATTTCAAATTCACTTTGAATTCTGTCTTTAGTATTAGACTTGTGCATTCAGCACTAAATGAACCACAATTTTTTGAATTGCGGGCAATCGGCAGTTGTCAAAATATCTTAATTACAAAGCGCCATGAGCTAAATGAACAGTAGACAACTAGTTTTATTTAATTTGTGATTCAGAAGATAGTCACTAAATGTTGATTTTATTTACAGATCAAGTGGGAAGTGACCAATAGAGGGAAAAAGTAGAAGCATTAAAAAAAAAAAAAAAACCTATATATTATATATATATATAAAACAAATTTGTGCGATATAGGTGCGTCTGTGTTGTTTTGGTTAATCTTAGTAAATATAGCACCTGAAAAACACTATGTGGGTGCTCCAAATCACCCACCAATACAGAAAATGGTGAAAACACAGTGATAATCCCCTAAAACACAATGTGCAAGTAGTGCAGCGATTAAAAGTGTATTAGCATATAATAAACAGGGACTCACCACTCAATTCATAGGGTGAAGGTAGAAGTCACATGTAACAGAAAAGCATAAAGATACATATAGTGCAAAATTGTAACACAATTGGGGAGATAATGGAGATCTATTTGACGGTGAGTGGAATTAAACTCACATGTTACAGAGCCTTTTAAAATATAGGCTCTAAACTTTGTGGCTTGCATAGGCGTGCACACAGGGTGTGCCTGGGCACAGCCTAATCCCCGTGGCCCACACTATGTGTCTCCCTTCGTGGGCCACGGCAACGCTCAGATCTCGCGAGAGTGAACTCTAGCCCCGCATGCTGTACACACATACATCACCCTTACACACACACTAACAGCACCCCACTGGTGCATCCAGGGGGGGCAACGGGGCAATTGCTCCTCCGAGATTCTCCCCTGCCGGCTAATGCAGGGCTGGCACTGTCCAAGTGCCAGCCCTGCAAAGTGCCTGTGGACCGGAGGGGAGATCACAGATCTCCCTCCCTGGTCTGCAGGCACCGTGCTGGCAGCCTGCAGGGGAGAGGGAGAGAGGACCCGGGAGCTCAGCCTGCAGTTCCTCTGGGTCCTCTTCTTGCCCCCCCACACACACACACACTGCCCCACATACACTGCCCCCCCTCACACACACACACTGCCCCACTGCTCCTATGCCCTACTACAGTCCCATATCCCAGCAGATCCCAGGTAAGTTGTCAAACGGTTTGACTACTTACTCCGGGAGGGGGTCCCGGCACCATAACCACTACATAGAGCTGTAGTGGTTATTGTGCATGGATTATTTCTAAATAATATAAAAGTGCCCCTCCCGGGGTCAGTCTCTGGATCTGCCTCTGCAGCACCCTCACACACAGCACCCTCACACACACAGCGCCCTCACAGCAGTATATATATATATATATATATATATATATATATATATATATATGCGGCATGTGTGTTTGTGCTTTAGGGTGCACACCCTTATGCAATAGGCTGCGCACGCCTATGGTGGCTTGTGTGCTTTAAGGTGGCATACACCTCTCTTCTGGATCTACAGGTCAATTGTTCTCCGTGTGATATACAGAAGAGGGAGAGAAAATGGAGAAATATCTCCTAAGTAGTGATGTCCCGAACTGTTCGCCGAACGGTTCGCCCAACTCCAGTCAGCAGACACTTCCAGCCAATCAGCAGCAGACCCTCCCTCCCAGACCCTCCCACCTCCTGGACAGCTCACTAAGAATGCAGCTTCAAAATGGATGCTGGTGGGAGGGTCTGCTGCTGATTTGCTGGAATGTGTCTGCTCGTGGCGAACAGTTCGGGACATCACTACTGCTAAGAGCAATATGTTGGCTTAGGGTGATTTAATACAGCACAATAATGCGAGAGTCCTAACCTCGTGAGGAGGTTTTTAAAACTGGCACCTTAGTGTTTGTTTAGGGTGAGATGTGTGCCCACTTTTTTTTTTTTCTCTTTTTTCGTACCTAGGATTTGGTTCTAACTTACGCATATATGAGGGAAGTACGGACTTTTTGATTCCTATTCTCCTTACCTGTATTTAGGTTATTTCTATAGGGAATTATTCACTCTCGATAATCCAGCTCTGTCCTGTACCTAATTGTTTGGTGGATACCATCTACCTCCGAGTCTTTTCCTGTACCTTTACCGCTACTCTCGCCTTTTTCAGCCAGACCCCAGAGAAGTTACACGTGTGGTGGATTTCTGTTTTTCTTTTTGGTCTCAGTAAATATGATCTAGTTATTAATAAAGGTTAATTTTTTTCTCTTTTAGATTATATAGTCTGAGCTCTCTGTCCCACTACCCGCCCTCTGATCTCAGTGGAGGAGTAGTTGGGATGCTGTCGTTCTTTTGAACTGGGAGAGTTGGCTGCACGTGGACACAAGGAGACCGGACTGGCGTTGCGTAGCAATGTTGTCTGCAAAACCCGGACAAAGTACGAAATCCCTTCCGGACATACAAATAGTCCTCAAAAAGAGGACATGTCTGGACATATGGTAACCCTACACTATAGTTAACAGAACCACTACAGATTAATGTAATGCTTCTGATGTCTATAGCCTGTCCATGCAGCTTTAGCACTGTACAAGCTGCCTAGTAACACCTCTAGAGATGTGGAGATGGTGAAAGTTGGACATGCAAGCTTTGCTTAGCTGAACCTAGGAAGTCCATCTAGTGACTGTCTGACTGTCTAACTTTTACCATCTCCACGGGAGATGCTGATTGGCGCAGTGTGGTGTTTTGCATATACTTTCTGTGAATACACTCTTTGTAGTAAATTTATGGCTTATTTTAGATTTTCTAAGATTTATTGTAGTCTTTTATATAATGTAAAGTAAATCGTTTACATAGTGTTCTCCTGTATAGTATTATTTTCAGTGTATTAATTAAATAACCTTAACAGAGTACATTGGACAGTTATCAATGTATATTACTTATATTTATTGTATTTTATTTATTTATTTTTACAGATCTCGACAACACCAACAAGGGAATTCAGTGAAGATGTAATTTTTTGTCCATCTAATCTATGAAAAGGAAAGTTATCTTGTGCAGGCAAAGCTTAATTTACACATTCACATAACAATTCTCTCCATCTGTATATTCAAGAAATCAGACAATTAATTTATATGCAATGCAAATAGATGTTTTCATATTTAACAAAATAGAAGTCAATTAATAAACTGTTAATTGATGATTAGCAATGCTAATTACATTTCAGACACAGTGAGTGCTTAACAGATGCATGATAATAAGACGATTGTGTCTATCCATTAAACTGAGAACTGTAAAGAATTCAGTAGACTATTGTACATTTAAGTGCAAAACAGATGACCTAAAATGTTCAAAGACAGCTGTCATTCCTCGTTAGCTATATTATTCTACAGTTTGCAGTTCTCCACAACTGAGATATATTTAAAAGATTATTTACTAGTTGTGCTGAACTGATTTGGGGTAGCAAATTATCGGCCAATAGAGCTGATCTGGAAAAAATAGATGGGGAGAATGTTTCCAATCTGACTAATTTGTCCTAAAATGCATATCTCCTGTCAATGTTTTGCGCTTTGTTCAAATTATCGAAATTATAAAACCTGAATTTTTGGTACATCTCGCGGACGTGCAAAGTAATAGATATAGTAAATATTACTGCTATAATGATGTAATAATGATGTAATAATGCAGTAAAACCAAAAAAGGCTGCCACGTAATAAAGATCATTGTGAACACTTGGAATATATTGCTACAATATTAAAGCCATTTATAATTAATGTACTTAATCCTATACCATTAAAAAAAAAAAAAAGTTATAATCAAATTTACAAAATTGGACCATTTTATTAAGGTGGATATGGTTAAATGGGAACAGATACAGACAAAAGACTGGGCAACAATGTGCTATGTTCAACAGGAGCAACTACCCGAAGAGGCTAATTTGGCAAGGAGCGTGGGGGACAGGGGCCACCCAATTCTGTCACTCATCTCACTCATTAATTCTCTCACTAATTTCCAAATCTTGTTGGATTTCTCAGTTTTCTTAAAGGGAGTAATAAATACTGAGCAATCTGGAGGGTTAGAAGTCCCATGTGCAATCTTCTTCTGACTGAGCGTATTAACTTTTTGGTTACTGAAAGCTAATAAGCAGGGCCGTCTTTAATAACGAATGGACCCTGGGCAAGTGTTTGCTTGGGCCCCCTGTGCCCTGCCGCTCTCGCCCCTCACTCCCTGGTATGCAATCACGGCATCTATCCCAACGCAGTGGCAGTACTAAAGTAGAATGAATTTTATTGGGACCCCCAATTGCAAGGTTGGACTAAAGGTAGAACCCCATCTGTCGTGCAACTCCAACAATGCTTTGACAGCTGGGACTCTACCAATTTCCCATGCTTGCAGGGTTGTATTTAGCACTGAGCCATGTTAGTATGTTTGAATGTAAGCATGTGTTTGTATGGAGTATGTTTGTGTGAATGTGTTTGTATGTGGTACTGGAGTTTGAATGCAAGTGTGCATTTATGTGTAGTGTTTGTTTTTGAATGTAGGAGTGTGCTTGTATGTAGTGTTGACGTTTCAATGCAGGAGTGTGTTTTATATGTAGTGTTGAAGTTTGAATGGAGGGGTGTATTTGTATTTAAAGTTGCGGCTCAGATGCACAGGTACACACTCTGACGCACAAGCAGATACACAGATACATACACTGACTACATACAGATAAACAGGCACATACACTGACAGACACACTGACACAGGTACATATATTGACACACACACAGACACATACACTGGTAGACGCACTGACAGACATACTGACACAGGCACATATACAGACATACTGACACACAGACACATATACCGACATACTGACACACACACACACACACACACACACACACAGACACATACACTGATCGAAATACTGACACCCACACACTGACAGATATACTGACACCCACACACTGACAGATATACTGACACCCACATACACTGAGAAATACTGACACACACACACACACTGATATACTGACACACACACACACACACAGACATACTGGCACACAGACAGATATACTGACACACACAGACAGATATACTGACACATGCATACACATGCACTAACAGACATACTGACGCACACACATACTGACACACATATATACTGACACACACACAGACAAACTGACACACATACACTAACACACACACTAACACACAGATACACTAACACACACACACACACAGATACACTAACAAACACACACTAACACACACTAACACAAACACAAACACACATACACAAACACACATACACTAACACACATACACTAACACACATACACTAACACACATACACTAACACACATACACTAACACACATACACTAACACACATACACTAACACACATACACTAACACATACACTAACACATACACTAACACACAAACACTAACACACAAACACTAACACACAAACACTAACACACAAACACTAACACACAAACACATACACTAACACACACATTCACACAAACACATTTTTTTTTTAAATGTAATCCCCCCAGCCTCCTTACCTTTTGGAGTGCTGGGGGGATTCCCTGGGGTCCAGTGGTGCTGCTGGACGGGTGGCCGGTCGGGCAGGAAGGCGGGCGCGCAAGGGAGCACTCACTGCTTCCTCTTCAGCTCCCTCGCGTGCCGCGTAGGGATGCCGGTGCCGGAAGATGACGTCATCTTCCGGCTCCGGCATCAGTGCGGTGCGCGAGGGAGCTGAAGAGGAAGCAGTGAGTGCTCCCTCGCGCGCCCGCCTTCCTGCCCGACCGGCCACTCGCCCGCCGGGGTCAGCGGGGCCCACGGGGCAGGTGCCTCGGGCCCCCCAAGAGAAACTGGGCCCGGGGCAGCTGCCCCGTTTGCCCCGCGTTAAAGACGGCCCTGCTAATAAGGATTTGTAGATACATTGTCTAGACCAGGGGTAGGCAACCTACGGCACTAGTGCCATGCACGGCACTCAAGGTGTCTTTCCACGGCACTCAAGGCTGCTAAAGCCAAACAGGCTCTGGCCTATCAGGAGTCCCAGTGAAACTTCAGATATCTGCTAATACGAAAAGGTGGTGAAGGACAATCCTCAACTTATGCATTGCAGCATATAGAGTAAGTGATCTCAGATCACTTCCTCCCAGCACTTGTGAATGGGAATCCACACTGTAGTAGAGCAGCCTGCAGCTGCTGTTGCAGCTCCTGTCCTTGGCCTGTACCTAGCCAGCCTGGTCCCCATTGGAACCCAGGGAAGCCACCCACACTGCTAGATTTACACATAAATGCACAATAACCCTCCCCTCATACAAATAATACGAACAGCCCACAAGCAAAATACATACAATCCGCAAAAACATAATCCGCTAACAATCCACATACACACAACCCCGCATGCAGCCTCTCACATGCAATACCCCAAACAGCCCCCACACATACACACACTACCAAACACAAAATGTGACATATCCATTCACATACACACAATTCCACAAGCAGTCCCCATACACAGCCCACATTCATATGCATCATACATGATACCACAAACTACTCCTGAACATATACAATATAATAGCTCATATACGCACAAATACAACAATACAAAGCAATTACAGTATAAACAACACAAGCAGAATACGGCAGCATACACACCTCAATTTAAAAAAATAGGACCGGCACGCTACGGGACATCACAATCCTATATTGGCATAGTGCTGCTAAAAGGTTGCCTACCCCTGGTCTAGACTCTACAGTAAACATGATGTATATTGCACATGAGATGACTCCAATTACGCAGGGATGAGTGGGTTTCCAAATGGTCAAACAACCACAAAAATTTATCAAATTATATACAAGAGATGAGCACAACCATTAAGAGCTCTGGAGACGAGGATGACCGTAACAGATTGTGGAATACTGGAAACTCTCTGGTTTAAGACAAATGTATAAGAACACAGCACATTTGATCTTATGTGTCATTGTATGACTTGTTCTCACTCTCGTTGTCTAACTATGTATGATAGTTTTAAGATATTGATTTATAAAAACAAAAACCATGTGCTATGTCAGTCAGCAACTGCAAAGGCTAGCTAGTATAAAATGGTCATTAATATGCTGAAAATATCATTTCGTTACCTGGCTTAGTAAACATGGGTCTCTGGAGACCTATTCATTAACAGGACTGTACAAACAGTGAGCATTCAGTGAATCTCGAAAAGGGAGATTTGACTATGGAATTAGTTACAGAAAGAACAAAAATAAATTGAAATTCTTTGCTTCCAGGATTTGTTTTTATCAGATTCTGTAGACATTATTTAAAAGGACTGAATGTATTTTTTTTTTAAAATCTAATAGTTAATATATGTGGTATCATCACATATGACTTAGTTTGCCTATGGAACCAAGAAGGGATGTTTTTCCTTATTGTGGAACAATTAGAAATTGGTTTAAATTGGTTCTCTTTCATCTTCAGGATCGACATAATAAACCGAAATATATAAAATGATGACCTTGATGGATATCAGAGTTTTTTAAAACTATATTGCTATGATTGCAACATTTTTAGAACTCTGCTCTAGAATTACTCTATAAATACAGCCTTTGTCTCTAGCTAACCAATTTTTAAGATCTTACCATTGTGCCACTCAGCTGCGGAGCTCCAATCACTCCAGACCCCGTTATAGCCTTTGTTGGCTTTGGATCGAACTTTAACCATGTAATCGTACCTTCTATTCAATTGTCTTTTATTCATTGTATAGTATGGCTCTATTTGTTTGAGGGTAATATTTCTAACCTGAAAAGATAAATGCATCAAATTAGAATGCAGCAATCTGTTTAGTGCTATAAGCACCACTTGTTACCAAGCCGATATTTTTAATATATATACACTCATGCTTGCCTTCTCATGGAAGAACTTCTCATAAAGTCTGCTGTAACACTTCCTAGAACATCATGGCTATTAGACCTTGGAGATTTGTTTTGGGCCAAACTGAAATTCGGCCTAATTTGGGCTAATCTGGGGATAGGTTGAATTCACGAACTCTGACCCAAAACGTGCCTGAATCATGAACCTACTGAGCCATGCAATACCGATCATGCTTGGTTCAGGGTTGTGATTTTGAATTCAGCTCGTCGTGTCATAAAAAGATCATTGATGGGAAAAAAAGATGATGGCTAGGGGACAGTCACTAAATGTTTATTTTATTTAATAATGTGTAATAGATGGAAACATAGAAGCGCAGTAAAACAATCTATATTTCCATATTATATGTTTAATAAATATATAATATATAAATATAGCTTTTTTTTCTGCTCCTCCTGTTCTCTCTGTTTAATTTTTCTCACTTGATGTGTGAACTAAATGGTAGGAAAATGCTCCTATCAGCGTACTGTAAAATATATACATAATATTATATAATCTATATATTTTGCAGCACACTGATTGGCCCCTTTTCACACCCTCTTCTTTTGTTCTCTTGATTTGGTTTTTGAAATTTTGCTGAGCCACAGTGACATATGAACATAATTTGGCTGTCCCGAAAAAAAATCATATTGTCAGAAAAAGTGGTTTCCTCACATATCTAATGTTTATTTAGTGTGATACTAGAGGTGAGCTGATATTACAAAATGCTAGACTGTTAACTTACTCCCATGTAGTGCCTCTATATATTTCCAGACTATTGTCCACATATATTGAGGTTTGGGGTTTTTGACTAATCCTGTATCTCTTACTGTCTCAATACGGCCTTTCGATGTTGAGGGTTTATATTTAATAGTTTAACTTCAAGCACAAGTGAGCTATAACCCATCTGTGATATTTTTGGGAATCTAACTATCCATAAGGCAAGTTGTCACCTCTATTCCCATTCTCTGTGTGTTTCTGTACGCTATTAAAATAGTTATATCTCCATTGAATAATGAGTTAAACAAGTGTACACACATTTACCTGTGTTGGATCACTCTTGCAGGTTATTTGAATAGAGAAGAACAGCATATTGTACAGGTAGTTTTCCTCTGAATATCCAGGGTCCCACCATATTATTACAGTGTCTAATTCACTGAGATCAACAGTCACGTTGGTAGGAGCTCTTGGTTTCACTATGAAGAGTATATAAAAGAAAAATGTAACTGTGTAATTATTACAGTGGTGAGGCAGCAAGTCCATTGTTACAGAATAATGTTGAGTCAAATGATATAATGTTTAGAGAAATTAATGGTGGTTTTGTCTTCAAACGAAAGAAACACACCATTGTATTAAATTTTATAAAAAGTCTATCCTTTGTTTTGGTCATTTTACTAAAATAGTTTTAATAATTTCAGAAGATTCTGTCATCCTATACTGTTCAACCACTGTCCCTTTTCTCTTGTCTGCAGTTCATTTGTGGCAGCTAATCAACTCAACTGAGGAGGTCTCACGTTCTGGATGGCTCTGACCATGTGTCACATCCTGTTCCTAGCTGCGGATCATTCTGGCTATGGCTTCTGGTATCCAGTACTCTTTTTACAATTCTTGTTTAGTTTTTCTTGGTTTTTTGGTTTTCTATTCTATGTCTAATTTTCTTTATGCTGGGTTTTTCTGGGTTCATTCCTATATTATGTCCCTGGATTTCACAGTCTCTTGGATTCATTTAAATGTTTGTTTTATGTTGCCACACCCGTTTGTTTTCCATCTTTCCTTTTGTTTCAGTGTCCTGAAGGCAGCTGCTCAATTCTTCTGCCCTTTCTTGCAGGTAAGTACTATGTGTGGTTTTTTTTTGGTTGGTTGGTTTAGCATACATTAGGCAGAGTAGGACCTACCAGATATGGGGTACATTGGCATTGTGGCAGGCTTATGCAATGTATGATCATATACTGTAACTAAATTCCCATGCTTTTCATATATAGTGTTTAGTTATTTCTCCTTCTCATATGTCTTGTTTTAGTTTGTATTCCCAGTCCATGTACAGTCCTGCCCATGTTATGTTCATGTTTCCCTCATGTCTTGTGTACATGTTCTGGGTTTAGCTTACTGTCCTTCTCTAGTTCTGGGTTCTATTAGTTCTGTCTTGTTTTCATGTTTGGTGACTAGCCTTTCCTGGTTTCTGTACTGGATCCATTCTTGCTGCAGAGCCTCCTTATTCAGCTCTGGGAGGTCTGCTTAATTCCTGCTCCTTGTTCCTGGGATCCGCTGTAGCTGCTTCAGGGTTTTGGTATGTGGCCGCACAAATGCTGGTGCTCAACACCAGGGGGCGTGCGGTTACCCTGCTCCAGAACCTGACTTATCCACTCATGCTGAAGACTCCCACTTATCACCAGACCACTATCCTGACACCAGGATTTGCTCCAGCAGACCAGTTTAATTTTAAAGGACAATATTTCACTTTTTTTTTTTTTAAGTGTATTACATTTAATGAAATATATATTTTTTTTAGAATTTCTTTTTTATTTTGTCGGGCTGAGCATCCATGTTGGGTCTGATTCTACTAATATCTGACCAACTGCTGCTCAACTTAGCTTGCTTGAAGCTGGAGGTTCACATAGAGCAATCATAGCAGCAGGTAAGTTAGGTTGAGCAGCAGTTGGCCAGATAACAGCAATTTAGGTGGAACAGCGTTAAAATAAAATCTGAGTGTTACCTTTTTGTGAAAGACGGGCAGTTGAATTCTTTAGAGATTTCCCATTTGACTTAACCTCTACTGTGTAGACCAAAGCAGCTACAATATCAGAAACATTAATATGGCAGATACATTTAGCAGCCAAACTGATGCCATCCAATGGCATGTTTTCAGGGACACACGGTAAATCACTGGAATCCAAAGGAAGAATTTTAAGGGATACACAGATATATATTCATACATACAAACAAACAAACGAGGTACAACACACCCCTACATCAAATAAAAGTGGAGTGTGATATTAACACTTAATGTTGTATAGCTTCCCAAGAGCGCCCCTTTATAGACAAATATATATACACACAAATATGGGATATAGTTCAGTCACTATAAAAAAGAAATGAAACAGCACATAGTGATGTATTGTAATACAAAGTGAATGCAGTGGTTAATGATTACACTCACAAGATGTAAGATTAATCAGCACCTTGAGGACCTCCAAAGGGCTATAATGATCCACTCTCCTTCCTTGGCTGGAATTAGTAACCATTCAAGGAACAGGAATCTATTACATTTCTTTTTTATAGTGACTGAGCTGAATCCCATATTTGTGTATACATCTACAAACAAGTGAAGCAAGTAGAAAGACTTGTTTCCTTATAAAATAGTGCAAAATAGCACTAAGATCGTTAATCTATTGTTTAGTGTATCTCGATACAACAACCCCCAAAAAAGCTCAAGCCATTTAAATGGATGTTTATCATGTGTTGACCAAAAGTGTTCACAGTATATTTGTATGGTGAAGCACTGATTGCTGCTACCAATTTAGCTAATGTTCAGGGGATAATACTTTTGTTTTATACTTTCGCACACTTTCTTAATACATTATAACCATATCTGTAAACATTAACCAAATGATGTAATATAAGTCAGATCCTTACAACTCAAGCCTCATTCAATATCTTTACTTTGGGATGTGCAGGGTGCAGGGTGCAGTGTTAATTTTGTCAACTAACAATCTTAGTAAAATATTTGAGATTTAGTCGACTAAAACAATTCAGATGACTAAAATACGACTAAAACTAAAATTGCTTTTTAATTAAAAGACTATGACTAAATTCAAATTTGCCGATAGAATTAACACTGCACAGAGGGGCTGTTGAAGGGGCAAAAGAAGCAGACCGGGGCTTGGGAGAGAGACACCTAATTGGGCTGGTAGGACACCAAGAGACACAGAGGGGCTGGGGAAAGGGCAAAATATGACTAAAACTAACATGGCTTTTTAGTCAAAAGACTATGACTAAAACTAATTGAAATTTGCTGCCAAAATTAACACTGGTGTGATGATGTCAGGGGTATTAACAGTTCCTCCTGGTGACAGGATGGGGGACAGGACTGATGCGTCTACACTATACTAATAATAAATGCCACTAATTGTAGTCACCATCACCCAGAGCTTAAGATGGACAATTCAATTAGGTATCTGGGTGATTCATATGTTTAAGTCACCCCGTGTCCATTGGGTACAGGGTGTGTGTGTGTAATATGGTTGTTTGGGGTTAAATGTTACTGTGCTCTCTTGTATTGCTAATGCTTGCAATCAATATCGTAGATTTGGCTGTGGAGTCCGTACAGCGCCACCTGTTGGTTGCAAGGATCTAGCAACAGCTATATTCACTTCCTGAATAGCAAGGCTTTCCAATTTGAATATTAGGGTAGATTTGCATATTGTTAATTCTGCCGGTAGGAGAGACATTTTTGTTAATTATCCTCTTTCCCACCCCTTTATAAAAATGTTAAATATGTTATTATAAGTTCCTGTATGTTGTCTAATGTGATTTGACTGCTTTTAATTTTATTGAGTTGTCACAGTAATCTATATGTAATGAACATATGGGCCATTGTTAAGAAAAATAAAGCTTTTTAATGTTAGTTCCTTTTGGGACTTGTGTCCTGTGTGGATTTGTAGTAATCCCAGGGACAGAATCTTCGGAACCTGGTTGCAGGATCCCTCTAGCCCTGGTATCAAGCAAGAGCGCTAGGCCTGAGAGCCTCAAGTGTTCCAAGAGGAATAAGCAGAGGGGACAATACCTGCCTGTAAGAAAAGCTGCAGATAAATATGCAGAAGGGAAGATCCCTGCCTGGAAGAAGGGCTGTAGCAGAATAGACAGAGGGGACATACCTGCCTGTAAGAAAGGCTGCAGATAAATAGGCAGAAGGGAAGATCCCTGCCTGGAAGGAGGGCTGCAGCAGAATAGGCAGAGGGGGCGATACCTGCCTCGAAGGAGAGCTGCAGCCTGGTGTGTGTGGAAGAGCACCAGAGAGACCACAGTCAAGCTTCAGCGACTGGGGCTGAAGCATTCCAGGGTCCCTGCAATCAGCTATGAAGTGGACTGGGCAGAGGTACTCAGTCGGAGTACAGGAGCTCCGTCCCAGCAATAACCCTCACAGGTTTTTATTACAAGGCATATGTCACTATTTTTTTTTGTAGCCCTTTAAATACACTATTTTGACACCTGTTTTATATTACAAGATTTCAAAGATCTGATACTCACTTGCTGTCCAAATCATGAGGTTCGAAGGTGTAGTTCAGCAGGAAATTACTACTGCAACTTATTATTGGATTACTTAATTCCCAAAAACAGTACATTTCAGATTCATAGTCATTGAAACACTCCAAGTTGGTGACATGAAGTTCTGGATGAGAAACAAATTAATTACAAGCCGAACATCATCAACATATTTATCTACATCATCAAGGTTGCCGAGAGATGAAATAAAAAAAAAGATAATTAATTAGTTTTACTATTAAGCTCTTGAACATACTAATAGCAGTTACAGCAAATTGCTTTTTTGTTGATAACATTTTCTGTTCTCCCTCTTTGTGATATAGTTGGATTCGTTCCTGTTGTCTTGACTTAGCCTCAAAGTACAGGGAGAAAGTATAGCAAAATAAGTTGAAAATAGTATAGAAAATAGACACCATTCTTGCATTTTAACAAACCTGTGTCTTATCTGCACTCATGTCGCTTTGACCCTGTATCACAACTCAACTTTGAATTCTATGTGTCGTTTTACTCAGAAAAACTTTATACTTGAGAAAGGGAGGTTCTCCCGAAAGTTTATCATTACAAAATTCTATTAGTCCAATAAAAAGCAAAGGTATTACAAGATACAAATTTCATCTGTTTTTTACATCTACATCACTGAACTAATACGGCTACAATCTCTACACACACACACACACACATATACATACAGTTGCAAGAAAAAGTATGTGAACCCTTTGGAATGATATGGATTTCTGCACAAATTGGTCATAAAATGTGATCTGATCATCATCTAAGTCACAACAATAGACAATCACAGTCTGCTTAAACTAATAACACACAAAGAATGAAATGTTGCCATGTTTTTATTGAACACACCATGTAAACATTCACAGTGCAGGTGGAAAAAGTATGTGAACCCCTAGACTAATGACATCTCCAAGAGCTAATTGGAGTACAATCAATGAGATGAGATTGGAGGTGTTGGTTACAGCTGCCCTGCCCTATAAAAAACACACACCAATTCTGGGTTTGCTTTTCACAAGAAGCATTGCCTGGTGTGAATGATGCCTCACACAAAAGAGCTCTCAGAAGACCTATGATTAAGAATTGTTGACTTGCATAAAGCTGGAAAGGGTTATAAAAGTATCTCCAAAAGCCTTGCTGTTCATCAGTCCACGGTAAGACCAATTGTCTATAAATGGAGAAAGTTCAGCACTACTGCTACTCTCCCTAGGAGTGGCCGTCCTGTAAAGATGACTGCAAGAGCACAGCGCAGACTGCTCAATGAGGTGAAGAAGAATCCTAGAGTGTCAGCTAATGACTTACAAGTCACTGGCAAATGCTAACATCCCTGTTAGCGAATCTACAATACATAAAACACTAAACAAGAATGGTTTTCATGGTAGGATACCACAGAGGAAGCCACTGCAGTCCAAACAAAACATTGCTGCACGTTTACAGTTTGCACAAGAGCACCTGGATGTTCCACAGCAGTACTGGCAAAATATTCTGTGGTCAGATGAAACCAAAGTTGATTTGTTAGGAAGAAACATACAACACTATGTGTGGTGAAAAAAAGGGCAAAGCACACCAACATCAAAACCTCATCCCAACTGTGAAGTCTGGTGGTGGGGGCATCATGGTTTGGGGCTGCTTTGCTGCATCAGGGCCTGGACAGATTGCTATCATCGAAGGAAAAATTAATTCCCAAGTTTATCAAGACATTTTGCAGGAGAACTTCAGGCCATTTGTCTACCATCTGAAGCTCAACAGAAGATGGGTGTTGCAACAGGACAATGACCCAAAGCATAGAAGTAAATCAACAACAGAATGGCTTAAACAGAAGAAAATACGCCTTCTTTAGTGGCCCAGTCAGAGTCCTGACCTCAACCCGATTGAGATGCTGTGGCATGACCTCATGAAAGCGATTCACAGCAGACATCCCAAGAATATTGCTGAACTGAAACAGTTCTGTAAAGAGGAATGGTCAAGAATTACTCCTGACCGTTGTGCACGTCTGATCTGCAACTACAGGAAACGTTTGGTTTAAGTTATTGCTGCCAAAGGAGGTTCGACCAGTTATTAAATCCAAGGGTTCATACTTTTTCCACCTGCACTGTGAATGTTTACATGGTGTGTTCAATAAAAACATGCCAGCATTTCATTCTTTGTGTGTTATTAGTTTAAGCAGACTGTGATTGTCTATTGTTGTGACTTAGATGATGATAAGATCACATTTTATGACCAATTTGTGCAGAACTCAATATCATTCCAAAGGGTTCACATACTTTTTCTTACAACATATATATATTTTTTCTTTCTAACATTTTCAATAACTGAAAGTTAGTTTTTGTATTTCTAAGCTTCGTTATATTAGTTTCTCAGGAGACAGTTTTTGGGTAACACAACAGATAGCTGGGCGAATGCAAAGGGGAGCAGGAATAACATCTCAAACATTTTTTATAGAAGCATTGAAACAGGAGAAAAACTGACATACTGGGTGGTATATAACTTGTAAAAGATACTAAGCTGGATCACGCAAAGCAGATTACTATCCACATTTCACTTCAATAAATTAAATAATTACTTTTACTTCTTAATGACATCATTGTGAAAGTCACATTGTAGCTGCAATTTACTTAACCCCTTAAGGACCAAACTTCTGGAATAAAAGGGAATCTTGACATGTCACACATGTCATGTGTCCTTAAGGGGTTAAAGAAGCAAAACAAATTTAAATCACTGAATGGCAATGTTATAGAAATTTCGATAGAAATTGGTACTTTTATAAATGAACCTTGTTACACCCCTCCGGCTGTCAGACTACTAGTCCTGCTACTTCCTGGTTTGGTTAACTGAGTGGAGTTAAACTCAAGAGGCAGCAATTTCCCAGCAGGGCCGGCGCGTCCATAAGGCGGCACAGGCGGCCGCCTTAGGGCGCACTGGCTTTAGGGGCGCAACATTCCTGTGAACTCCTGCCGGTCACAGGAATGTTGCTCCCTCCTGCCAGGTCACCTTCTGGATCCCCGGCGCGGCGTGCGGCTGAATTGGATTCCAAGGTGGCGAAGGAGCTCTGATTTCTCTGATCTGCTCCCTCGCAGGCTGTTTACTGATGCCGCGGGAGCTGGAATATGATGTGATATTCCAGCTCCCGTGGCATCAGTAAACAGCCTGTGAGGGAGGAGATCAGAGCTTCTTCGCCACCTCGGAATCCAATTCAGCCGCACGCCTCCCAGCAGCCCCACTGGACCACCAATGAGAGACCCACGCCAGCTCTCCAGGTAGGGAGGCTTGGTGGGAAATTTTAATTTAAATTATTAATTACTGTGAGTGTGTTCATGTGAGTGTGTGTGTCTGTCAGAGTGTGTGTGTGCATGTGAGTATGTGTGTCTGTCAGTGTGAGTGTGTCTGTGTGTGAGTATGTGAGTTTGTGTGTGTGGTTCTGTCAGTGTGTGTGTGTGTGTGTATGTGTGTCTGTCAGTGTGAGTGTGTGTGAGTGAGTGTGTCTGTCAGTATGTGCATGTGAGTACATGTGTCTGTGAGTGTGTGTGTGTCAGTGTGTGTTTGTCAATGAGTCTGTCAGTGTTTATGTGTCTGTCAGTGTGCGTGTGAGTGTCTGTCAATGAATGAGTGTGTCAGATAAGTGAGTCTGGCTGTCAGAGATGTCTGTGTGTTTGTCATTGAGTGTGTGTGACTGTCAGTGCTTATACACCCCTGACTGTAGCGTGGCCAAGCGGAGTGTACTGTGGTACAGGAACTTCTGTTACCTGTACCTGGCAGGACTGACAGGAAAAGCTCACTGTACCGGGATTCGCTCCGCTCAGCCACGCTTCAAGAAAGGTAGGAGGCACACCAGGAAGGGGAGGGGACCACTATGGGGGTGGGTGGTGCACCAAGGGACAGGGAGAGGAGGGGAGAGATACCCTAAGGTACAGGAAAAGGAGGGAGGGGGGAGAGGAACACTAAGGGACAGGAAAAGGAGGGGGAAGGGAAAGGAACACTGAGGAACAGAGAAAGAAGGAGAGAGGGGAGAGGAACAGTAAGGGTCAGAGAAGGGAGGGGACCATTAAGGGACGGGGAGAGGGGCTGGATGTGAAAGAAACACACAGCGGGGCTTGAGAAGGAAAGAGACACACACAAAGGAGCTGGGAAGAATAAAAGAGACAAAGGGGCTGGGAGAAAAGGAGTCACACAAAGGGGCTGGGAGGAGGAAGACAAAATGTGGGAGGATGTAAGAGTCATAAAAAGAGGAGAGATAGGAGACACACAAAGGCAAAAATAAGAGATAAAAGACACTAAAGGGAGTCAGATATTTAAAAGACGGGATAAGAAAAACAAAAGGGAGGTTAAGAGGCACATGGGTGAAGATGTTTTTGGGGGGGACAGAAAAATGCATATTCGCCTATGTACCCAAAATTCTTTGTACCGGCCCTGTTATTTTAAATAATAACTACTTTTGGTTTTTAGACTCTTTATTTACAAAAACAGGGCACTACTATGGGGACCAGGTTCGCCCCCTGTTATGTCAACCTTTTTATGGCAGATTGGGAATCCACTGCCATTCTGGGAGGGCATGACTGGCAGGCAAACCTGGTCACATATTTTAGATATATAGATGATTTGTTTTTTATCTGGGATGGTCCAGAAGACTCTCTGAATCAGTTTTTACAGTATTTTAATCAAAATGATAAAGGTATTGTCCTAACTTGGAAGTATAGTAAATCCTCCATCCATTTTTTTTTAGACCTAGAAATTTTAATCAAGAATGAACAAATCAATACTAAAACTTTTTTTAAAAAGTATGTACAAACAATGTTATTGATGTGTCCAGTTGCCGTCATAAGCCCTGGCTTCAAGGCATACCCAAAAGTCAGTTCCTCCGTCTACGAAGAAACTGCTCCCTCACACAGGATTTTGAGGAACAGTCTCAATTACTGTCCAACAAATTTCCCCCCCCAAAAAAACTATTCCAGAAATAATTTAGATCAAACGCTAAAAAAATATCAGTGAAATAAATAGATCCGAATTATTAGAATACAAGACAGACAAAGACACCAAAACCGCTCCAGTATTGCCAATCATTTTTGACTTCAATAACAAAAGTAATGTTATGAAGAAGATTATAAAGAAACATTGGCATATATTAAAACAGGATGAGACTCTGGCTGGAATCATCCCTGAGAAACCACAAGTTATATTTAGAGGGGCACCCAGCTTTAAGTCTAGCCTTACAAGTAATTACACGAAACAAACAGAGCACTTTTTCCCTTAGCCCCTCTACCTTTTTAACCAAACCTAGCGGTTTCTTTAAATGCAATAGATGCATAGTTTGTAAACGTACTAGCGATACCATTAATTCTAAAACTACCTCGTTTGTATCAACAATTACACAGAAAACATAACAGATAAAACATTTTATTCACTGTAATACGAAAAATTTAATTTATCTTCTGGAATGCCCGTGTAGGTTGCAATATGTGGGTATGACCACTAGAGATCTAAAAACTAGATTAGCTGAACACTGTAGAAATATTTTAAAAGGTTATGAGAATCACTCAGTGTCAAAACATTTCCTACAGCATGGAAAGAATCCAAAACACCTTAAATGCATCGCTATAGATACTTGCAATGTCCCATGGAGGGGTGGAGATAAAAAAAAAAGAAATGGAATGGGCTTATAATCTAAAAACCCTTGCCCCTACAGGGCTGAATATTGATTTTGATCTTTTTAATTTTTTATAAAAATAATTCATTTTGATTCTCTTAACCTTTTAGCTATATCTTTTTATTATTATTTTTATTACTTTTACCAACTTGTAAGCTATGCAATACTATTTTTCACATGTATTTTTTATTTATTTTACTTTTATATGTACTGTCTTTTTAAATTTTTACCCTCAACATTTAGTGGACATATTGCTCTATTTGCCATATGTTCACTAAAACTAGCTGTTTTGTTTGTTATATCTCCCAGGTCTCCCTTTTTTATATGTATTTTTTTATGTTGCTATGATGGGTGCCCACTTTGGGTTTTGAACCTGTGTGCTGTTGTGGTGGGTGCCCACTTCGGGCTTTGAGCTTGAGCTGCTGATGTGGCCGTCTGCCTGTCTGTGCAGGCAGACAGCCTGATTTATGTTTCCTTGCAATCTACCTTAGGATCTACTGATCCATTCAGACAGCCCACCCCCTCCACGTCATCCCCTGATGACACATGCGTTCCATATAGACGGAACGCATGCGTTCCATTGAGCATCTCGTGAAGTGGAAGTGTTTTTAGCCGCGCGTCACATGATCACTTTCAAAATGTTAATGAATATATTTATAACCTTCGTTTTGCAATTTTAATAGTTGCACCTACCTCATGTTATTTGTGTCTACATAATACTATATTTTAATTGCTGTTTTTATTTGTACTATGATAATGAGTTTCTGATGAAGTCATTATGGCGGGAAATTCAAATTTCAGCAGTATTATTGTACTTTATATAAACCCATGTATGTCAGGTTGTGTCCCTTTTTACTACTATCTACTTGAAGAAGCCTTTTGAGGCGAAACACGTTTAGATATTGTTTTCTACTTTATAATAAAGAAATTATTTTGGCATAAAATACTTTGCCATATTTTCTCTTTTTTACTTGACTACATAAATATTGCATACCCTACAAGAAGCTTAAAGAATCCACAGGTGGGGATTATACCACCCAAGCGCTTACACCGAGCAGTACAAGCCTGCTCTAAATAAAGTGAGTAATATATTTTATACTTTTAAAACTTTTTATTCATAATACAGAGAGCACTATATTTTATCCCTTTATTTCTGGGTCGAACAATATTAAATTTGGACGCAGAACCTGTGCCAGATATTCGCCAATCAAATATTACTCCGTATATCCTTGAGTGGGGATTATTCCACTTCACGCGTGCAATATCAGAGCTGGATTGTAGCTCTGAAAAGTGTGAGTAATACTATTATTACTACCTTATAATTTTATTCATCTATATACTGTGCCACTGGAGTCCTGTTCTTGTCTCTCTTTTTACATATGCTCCATTGAATTCCAACCATACAACCGTGAAGATTTACTTCATTCTACACTCCAAGAATCCCTTTTCACACATGGAACCTATCATTTCGGACTTATGATAAGTTATTTGGACCACTGTTAATCATTTCATTTTATATTTTTACTATTTTATTATATATAATTTAATATATATTTTAGGCGAACCCTTACTCTATTGTGTGTTCTTTTCTGTTTCCCAGAATACATGCCTTGCAAAGACTTCTCATTGAGATGCATTGCGCAGTCTGTGATTGGACAGCCACAGAAAGCCTGTGCTGAGGAAAAGGGGAAGGTTTGCAGAAGCTACAGACAGCAGATCTGCAGCTTTGCAAGCTGTGTTTTTTTTAATCAATATAACCCAATGAAAAATGCATAATTAAACGCATGCATGTTTTCATTGGGGATATGTCTACTATATACTTAAAACATACAATAAACATGTTTCCAATTTAGTGCTGCTTTAATCTCCAAAGTGAAATTTGCTATGTTGTCACCTTGGTACTCCCGCCAGGCCCTTTTAAGCTTACTTTACCCACTACCACCTTAAATCCTTGCCACCAGCTAACCTCCTCGTAGTCCAGATAGTGGAGGGATTAACCTGTGTTTTCAAACACATGTAACGCAAGACGTACCTTGACAATGTGTGCATGACAAGACGAGGAGACATAGAAAACGTATCCTTCCCACAATCAGCAAACGCTTCTTTGTCATTTTGTTCGATATATATTGAGGTCTGTGGATCAGAACCAATGTATTTAACAACGATCGTTCTTGTGGGTGGATAAATAGTGACTTATTTATTAATTATTAAACACTGAGTTGTCATTACATCGATATTGTAACATTTACTCTAGAGGTGTGCATGGGGGAAAAAAAATGCTTAAAAATGATTAATTTCAGAAATTCCAATGCCCATTAACCCCTATGGGGAGTGAATGAAGGTGGTAATCACAAAGCACCAAATTAGGGAGTCATCTGCTAAGCTGTTCAAAGATCAAAATTAAGAAAAGCTGTTTACTTAGTTTTGCAGTTGTTTATTAGATTACTCCCTAATTTTATATACTTATCAAAATGAATAGATCATAAACAAATCAATTCGATTTGCTTTCAGATCCGTTAATTTCATTACTTTTTTCTACTGCGATGATTCAGAATTTCAGACACTTCCGAATTGCCAAATCGGCCAAATTATGGATGAAATTAGATTTTTACTAAAATGAAGTACACAAGTCTAATTTAAAAAATTATTGTTAATCTGGAGAATGTTTCTAACTTTCTTATTTAGGATAACAATTCACTGTGAATAAAACACAAATTTACTTTGTTTCAGTCAAAATCTACATGACATGTGCACGGTTGCCTTGTCGACATCTGCGTAAACCCCAAAATTATATCACAGCTTTATTGATTCTTAACATAAAATATAAAGGTCATTGTCAACAGCAGGCCAACGTTGGCCTGCACAATTACCATCCTGCAGTTTACAATTTAACCCCTTGACAATGACCCACCCCCACATAACATAATACCCAAACATTGTAACATTTAACTTAACATTGAAACATGACCATTGCCACCAAAGGGCACCACAAGTGTAGGGGCATACCGAGACACCACTACACACCCCGGTTCGGAGCTACCTACAAGCTCGAACCTACAAAACCAGTCCAAAGGCCTACCTATTAGCCCTGAACTTTTCCCCCATCTCACTCTTTTCTGCCCCCCAACTTTACTCTCCATCCCTCGCCACAGCTCAGAGCTCGACTCCTCGAGCTCTTGAGTGACACCACCCCCCCATCCCAGGGAAAAAAAATTGCCCTCTGGAGGCCCTCCTGGAAACCCAGCAATAGAAAATCCAAGCCCACTTCAGAGAGATGGACCCCATCGCGCCTATAATAAACTGGAAGCATGTCTTCCAACTCCCTGTGACTAATTACAACCCCCCCCAACCGCTTCACATACGCTGCCATCACCGTATTAACCTTTCCCTTAATCTTCACCACCACGGAGGGATTCCGCGCATGCCGCCAGTAAAACCTCGGAACCATTTACGACCATACCACCATAATCCCTGGCACTAACTCTCTCAATTTGTCCACATCCCTCTTCATACACTCAATCAATACCTTTTGAGGTAACGACCCCACATCATTGCCCCCTGCGTGAAGCACCACTATGTCCGGAACCTGTCCCATAAGAATTTGTGAAACATTTCAACACAGATAGCATTCCAACCCCAACCCAAGTAACCACAACAGCGCGTCCAACCGGGCCTCCCTTGAGAGCTGAACCCCCGTCTGTTGCATCAGCTCGTCCCATTCCCCCCACACCTTACTGTACGCCGTCCAGGTAGCGGGTGCCAGGGAGTCCCTGATCAATCTGCAAAGCATGATGTCCCGAGCCGCCACACCTCATCCTGGCAAGACATCCCTTCCTCCCTCGCACCATGTGCCACCTGCCGGAACCTCTCCCACTGCGAACGAGATAACGCATCAGCAATAACATTCAACAGTCCTGGCATGTGGCGTGCCTGAAAAACAATATTAAAACGCATACAGAGCAAGACAAAACGGCGAAGAACCGCACCACTGGGATAGAGGATGCTGATAGCCCGTTCACTGCATCTACCACTGCCATATTGTCCGAAAAGAATACAACCGTCTTATCCCTCAACTGTGGACCTCATAGTGACAGCGCTACGACTAACGGGAACAACTCCAGGAATGCCAAGTTGCGTATCAGCAGGCTGGCCTTCCAAACCACTGGCCAAGTTCCTTTAAGTTTACAGAAATGTGTTGGTTTAGCCTTGTCTTTTCTTTTCTATCTTTCTTCTATTATCATTCCATTTAGACTTAGCTCATTTACTTGTTCAGTCCTCTATTGGTCTAGGTTGTGAAAGGAAAATTGTTTATCACATAACCATTTATCATTTATACCTAGTCAGTACTTAAAGGACTACTATAGTGCCAGGAAAAAACTCGTTTTCCTGGCACTATAGTGCCCTGAGGGTGCCCCCACCCACAGGGACCCCCTCCTGCCGGGCTCTGAAAGAGGAAGGGGTTAAAATCTTACCTTTCTCCAGCGCCGGGCGGGGAGCTCTCCTCCTCTCCTCCATAGCAACGTCATTGGCTGAATGCACATGTGCGGCAGGAGCCGCGTATGCATTCAGCCAGTCCATAGGAAAGCATTCACAATGCTTTCCTATGGACGCTGGCGTCTTCTCACTGATTTTCACAGTGAGAAGCATGCAAGCGCCTCTAGCGGCTGTCAACAGACAGCCGCTAGAGGCTGGATTAACCCATTTATAAACATAGCCGTTTCTCTGAAAAAAAGGGCTAAGCCTGGCCATTAAGCTGAAGTGGTCTGGGTGCCTATAGCGTCTTGTCTGCAACTAAATGTGTCTTTATCATGCTCCTCGACATGTTTGTTTAACCTGATTGCTCTTGTTATATGTTCTTCTAAACTGAGGCTGACTCAATCCAAGTATCCAGCTAGTCCTAAACGTGTCTGGGTATGGTATTTGGTTTTTAGCCCAGGCTCAAAAATAAGTCCTGCGCTCAAACTCCCACTACTCCTGGGCAGCATCAACGACCATAGCACACATCAACTACAATACATACAAAACAAGCAAAGAAAAAAAAGTTACCTGTGCACTAGCCCAAATACCTATGCATATTCATAGGCCTGCGCCGCGTGTATATGTATGTATGTATTGTAACACACCACCTCTTTTCCAGGTAGGATTTTGTCACAGATCTTGTAACCACAGCTTTCTAGGGTAATGAAAGTCCAGGACACGTCCAGCTCAGTTTTTCAGATTTATTCAGTGAAATATATTTACAGGTGTTTCAAAAATGAAAATAAACAAAACAAAATTCCTTGCTCTTGCTTGAGCACTTACTACACACAGCAAATCCCTATCTGGAATTGGGTGGCTTTCCCACTTGCCAATTTACAAAAATTATAACTGCAAGACACCATTCCTCTGGCTTTTCCTCCTCACCCTGCAGCATGCTAATCCCTTGTTTTTAAAAGCCTGCTAGATAATTGATCAGATACAGGTGAGGTGCAATTAGACATAAGTGAAACTACTAAACAAAATAAGAGTTCTGGTATGACTGTTACTTAGCAGCTGGTGCTATTGGAGCACTGGCCCACCCTGCTCTCCAAGTGCTCCGCCCCAGGGACCCATACCGTGGTTTGCAGAGTACCAGTGATGCATCTTGCAAACCTAACATCTCTCCCTGGTACATTTAACCCCTTAAGGACTGGACTGTTTTTGCGATGTTGTACATTTGCGACCAGGCATATTTTTACACTTTTGTGGTGTTTGTGTTTGGCTGGAATTTTCCGCTCTCTCATTTACTGTTCCCATACAAATTATATATTGTTTTTTTCAGGACAAAAGGGGCTTTCTTTACATACCATTATTTATATAATCTCATGTATTTTAATTTAAAAAAAATAAAAAAATATGATGAAAAATTGAAAAAAATACATGTTTTTTGACTTTTACTTGAAAAATCTTTTACTCATCTACAAAAGCGAATTAAAAAAACTGCTAAATAGATTCAAAATTTTGTCCTGAGTTTAAAAATACCCCGTGTTTACATGCTTTTTTGCTTTTTTTTGCATGTTATAGGGCTATAGGTACAAGTAGAATATTGCGGTTTCAAAACATAAATTTTTTAAATTTATCAATAGTGACATTGTAACACTATTATCTGTCATAAATCTCTGAATAACACCCCACATGTACATATTTTTTTTAAAGTAGACAACCCAGGGTATTCAATATGGGGTATGTCCAGTCTTTTTTAGTAGCCACTTAGTCGAAAACACTGGCCAAAGTAAGCATTCATATTTGTTTGTGTGTGAAAAAAGTAAAAAAACTAAATTGAACGCTAATTTTGGCCAGTGTTTGTGACCAAGTGGTTACTAAAAAAGACTGGACATACCCCATTTGCAATACCTTGGGTTGTCTTCTTTTGCAAATGGTATGCCATCATGGGGGTAATTCTCATTCCTGGGCTACCATACGCTCTCAAAGGCAACGTAACCAACCTGGCCATTTTCAATGTAAAAATATTTGACCCATATATTTGACCTTGTAACTTTCAAAAATACTATAAAACCTGTACATGGGGGGTACTGTTTTACTCAGGAGACTTTGCTGAACACAAATATTAGTGTTTAAAAACTGGAAAACGTATCACAACAATTATATCATCAGTAAAAGTGCTGTTTGTGTGTGAAAAATGCAAAAAAAGTAACTTTCACTGACAATATCATCGCTGTGATATGTTTTACTGTTGTGAATCACTAATATTTGTGTTCAGCGAAGTCTCCCGAGTAAAACAGTACCCCCCATGTACAGGTTTTAGGGTGTCGTAGAACGTTACAGGGTAAAATACAGTGCTAGCAAATTCAATTCTCTGGAATTTCGGCCTGGGTTGGCAGGCAGGTCCCTTAAATTGCAATCAATAAAATTACTGAATTATGTAAAACTATTACATAAATACGCACGTAGAATTTAAATATATATGCATATTTATATATCTGAAGTCTACGTGTATATTTATATAATTATTTATGTAATTTTGTATATGGACATATGTATATTTCTTATTTTTATTTATTTTTATATACATAGATATATACACACAAATTCATTCTAAGTGTATTTTGATATAAATATATATATTAATTTTAAAATACAGTTAGAATAAAATTTCATATAGATATATAATTTTTTTATTTTTTTATTATTATTTTAAAAATGTTTTATTTAATTTAAATTACTTATTATATATATATATATATATATATATACACACACACACACACACACACACACACACGTGTGTAATTTAATAAGTGTATTTTTATATTAATATAAGTAGATATTAATATAAAAATACACTTAGTATGACATTATATATATATATATCATATATACACATATAATTATTATTTATTTTTTAATTAACATTAACTTTATTTTTTTTATTTTACACTAGCAGGGAGACTGCCTGTCAGCACAGGCAGTCCCCCTGCAGGCAGCACTATGGACACCCATTGTGACCATGTGATCGCTCTGTTAAGCGATCACATGGCCACAGGGGGTCCTAATTCAGTGTGGGGAGACTGTCTGGGCTGCAGGCAGTCTCCCCACACCGGGAGCCACGCTGATCGCCGCCGGGGTAACGACGGCGATCAGGTAAGTAACGGAGACCGTTAGGACGGTTCAGGACCGTCATCGGTCCTCAAGGCAAAAATGCAGATGACGGTCCTGAACCGTCCTCGGTCGCTAAGGGGTTAACTCTCAAACCTCAGGCTGCTGTTCAGTAACTCAGGCCTAATGTATATGCCATCAACTACCAGACCGCATTTTCTCTCACAGTATATGTATTTAAAAAAAAAAAAAAAAAAAAAACTTACAATGCACTGTTCCAAATTATTACGCACAGTAAGTTTCAAAACACTTTATAGGTTGTAAAAAAGTGAAAATTGTCATTTGTTGTGTTTGCAGCATATTTACTGAAATCAAAAGCTATTTCAAACGTTTTAACAGGTCACGTTACATTTTAACATAGGACTCCTTATTTGATAGCTTCACAAGCCTTGCATCCATTGAACATGTGAGTTTTTGGACAGTTTCTGCTTCAATCTGTTTACAAGATGTCAGAATAGCCTCCCAGAGCTGCTGGTTGGATGTAAACTGCCTCCCACCCTCATAGTTCTTTTGCTTGAGGATGCTCCAAAGGTTCTCAATAGGATTGAGGTCAGGGGAGGATGGAGACCACACCATGACTTTCTCTCCTTTTATCCGCATAGCAGCCATTAATGCAGAGGTATTCTTTGCAGCATGAGCATTGTCATGCATGAAGATGATTTTATTACGGAAAGCATAGTTTTTCCTTCTGTACCAGGGAAGAAAGTGGTCAGTCAGAAACTCCACATACTTTGCAGAGGTCATCTTTACACCTTCAGGGACCCTAAAGGGGCCGGCAAGCTCTCTTTCCATGATTCTGGCCCAAAACATGACTACACCACCGCCTTGCTGACGTCGCAGCCTTGTTGGAACAGGGTGGCCCTCCACCAACCATCCACTACTCCATCCTTTTGGACCATCCAGGGATGCACGGCACTCATCAGTGAACAAGACTGTTTGAAAATTAGTTTTCATGTATTTTTCTGCCCAGTGCAACTGTTTCTGCTTGTGAGCATTGGTTAGTGGTGGCCGAATAGAAGGTTTATGCACAGTTGCAAGACTCTGGAGGACTCTACACCTTGATGTCCGTGGGACTCCTGAGGCACCAGCAGCTTCAAATATCTGTTTGCTGCTATGTAATGGTATTTTAGCAGCTGCTCTCTTGATCCGATGCCTGGATCTGGCAGAAATATTCCTCAATGTGCCTTTATCTGCACAAACCCGTCTGTGCTCTGAATCAGCCACAAATCTCTTAATACTGCAATGATCACTCTTACGTTTTCGTGAAATATCTAATGTTTTCATACCTCGTCAAAGGCATTAAACTATTTCACTCTTTTTTCAGCAGCAGAGAGATCCTTTTTCCTTCTCCATATTGCATGAAAATGGTAATCTGCTTAATAATGTGGAACACCATCCTTTAGTAGTTTCTCCTTAAATTGGGCTCACCTGGCAATCTAATTATCACAGGTGTCCGAGATTGTTTTCAGTGATCAAAAGAGCCCTGAGACACAATGCCATCCATGAGTTCAACCGAAAAACAAAATATTTAATCTTTGTGACACTTAAATAGAATTTGCATAATAATTTGGAACAGGGTGTAATCTTCACCGGTCTTGCCAAAAGTCATTGCACGGGCCCATTAGTGACTAGCGTCGAGTCATCTGGTATGATCTCTTCCCATGATACTGTCTATCTGCTCCTTTGCATCAATTTAGAGTTAGCTATATGAAGTTAAAGATCCACAAATTTTATTGAATATTAAAGTTAAACTTAATTTAGTAATTTTCCTATAATTAAAAGTAGTTCTGTTTTAATGTTTCAATTAAACAAATTATGTAAGATTATTCAATAAATATTCACTTGAAAATAATCCTTCTTGTACATCCTAATGAGAAGTGCTGTGAATGTTACAATTACATAATTTATCTCGACCTGGTCGCATTGCTGTAAGTTTATACAAAATATACATTTACACAACAAGACACACTATCTAAATATATAAAAGTTAAAATCCTTTCCTGAAAAATGATTTTCCATCAAGGATTTTATTTGGACCTGTCCTGCATTATCCCTTTTTGGAAGTAGTTTTTTTTCTTTGCACCCCATCAGGAAGAGTATGTTTTATAGAAGTAGTTTTTATAATTGCATTTTGTGATTTTAAAAAGGCAGTAAGACACCACTACACAGTAAATCTTTAAAAACAAACAAACATAGTTTAACCCCTTAAGGACCAAACTTCTGGAATAAAAGGGAATCATGACATGTCACACGTCATGTGTCCTTAAGGGGTTAAACAACCCCCCTTTAATTGACCTTTAAAGATGAAAAATAAATGTAGAAAACTTACGTTGTGGCATGTATCTCTTTAAATCTTGATTTGTTGCGTTCCGTGCTAGCTGTTTGTTTCTAAATCCCTTGGCAAACTGTTAAATGATCTGCCTGCAAATAGTTTTTCTTCGCTTTCTAAGTCACTGAAGCCCTGCCCACTAAATGTGCTTCTTTCTTTGTCTAAGTAGTGTTAGCCAATACTTTTGTTATATACATATCAGTTCCCTAATCATTTGTGTGCCAGGAAATTAACACACATTAAAATACACTCTAAAACGAACATGAAACACATTGTTAGTTTCTAGAACACTTAGAGTATCTGTGACCTCAAGTGGAAAAATTAAGGGTTGATTGATTGATTGACTGTTTTATAGCACATTGTTTTAAAATCAGAGGTAATGTAAAGATTTTTGGCAACATAGATGCATTCCACCTCCCATTTCCTCCCCCCGAAACACACACACACACACACACACAATTTTCCATGCCTCAACTTTCGGCAGGACAGTCACAATTTCAGGGTCCTATCCCACTTCAGTTCCCTGGTGTCCCCAGATGCGGGACTGTCCACAGGTGGCACAGCTGTGAAGTGGGCACTAGGACCATGCAGAGAGTGCTTCATCGGCACACGGTCCAGAAGCCTAGCAGACTGGCAGTGGTGGGTTGGCCCACAGAGTATCAGTGATGGGTGTGGTATGACCCAGGCCCACACGTCAAAACTTTTTCAAATGAGTCCACCCATTATGGGCGCTGCTCGTGACACACACCGCATCACTGGTGATGCCCCTTCAAGAGTCTGCACACATATTGGAAGGTATGTTCTTCATACTTCTCACACTACTCTCATGCTTCACCCACTTAGTAACTTCTTGCATGTATTTTCCTGTTCAATGTATAAGGAGTTAGCTGTTTTTATATGCTATGATCCGGGCAAGAGGCTGGTGTTAATTCACCGAAATTTCAACTCGGTCAAAAGATATACTGAGACAAAGTAGGGATTACATTGACTCAATATTTTTCCTATGCCTGACACTTAAAACTGGGCGGCACGACCACCGTCAAGAAGTGTCAGTCCCCCAGCCATCACCAGTAATGGCTACTAGGAACTGGCTCTATCTATGGTGTATCCCGAGGTCTCATGGTGTTAGGGCTTACCTGAATGGGAGTCTGTAGCGCAGATATATGTGCTCACCCTTGCAAGTAAACACAGGCCAAGGTGGTCAGGTAAGAATTCACCTGGCCTGTCAGTCAATGCACGGGGGCTGTGCAGGATGATGCTCCAAGTCGCAGTGCAGATACCGACATAAACAGGAGAATCGTCGTGGATAAGCCAAAGGTCAGTGGGTGCCAGAAATCAGGATAAACCAGTAGAGAGCCGAGGTCAGATGATGCCAGAAGTCAGGGTACACAAAATAACAAGCCGAGGTCAGGAATCAACAGAAGAACACGAAACAGCAATACTTTAACCAGAGTCAATGAACTGACACTGCCCTCAGGGAGAGGCAGTGTCTTATACCTGGCTAATCAGTGATCAGCCACAGGTGAACCATGAGTGACAGAAGCAGTCTCAGATAACGTCCAGCCCGCAGTGCTGGATGCGAGGCAAGAGTAGACTTCTGGATATTTTCTGAGCTGTATGGTGGCTCAGAGGCAAAAACAGCAGCCCCAGGACTGCAGAGGACTCAGGTTCAAATCCTCTATTGGGCACTTCTGGGGTAGAGATGTCGCGAACTGTCCGCCGAACTGTCCGCTGGCGAACAATAGCGTGTTCGCGTTGGGCGAACATATCCGATTTCTGGTCCGCCCCTGTAGAATATTGCATATTCTATGTTTCTATTGATTATATATATGGATGTGTGGATTGACATAAGTAACAGATGGTATCAATAAGTCACAAGGCTTTCTTTGTCTGAGAGCTCTGGAATGTGGATTCGGGGGTCTTGTCCTTATATGGCTAGAGGTAAACGCTGACGTTAGTATTAGCACTTCCTTATAGTAACAGAGGGACACGAGGTCGCTCTCTCTGTCTTCTTGGCTTGGCTCTTGGCTCTGTACAACGATGTAACTCTCCCATCAGAAGTCCAGCAATTACCATCTGCTGTTGAATGTCCATAATCCTGTAACATCCTTTATTATGTATCCGTAACAAAGAATAAACCTGAAGAAACCGTAAGTCAGATTGCGTATTACTACTTTTCAATAATATAGACATATATTATTGTGGCGAGCATTTTGCCCAAGAATATATATACAAAAGACGTATATATATCAATCAACTGAAGACAAGAAGAAATTAAGAAGATTCAACATTAACACCAATTTCAAACTTCATTTTACAGCCCCCTATACGTCATTATTGAGTAAACTTTGACCCGGAACCTCACAGCCAGCAGACACATTCCACCCAATCAGCAGCAGACCCTCCCTCCCAGGAAGTGTCTGCTGACTGTGAGGTTCCAGGTCAAAGTTTACTCAATGATGACGTATAGGGGGCGGATCGGAAATCGGATATGTTTGCCCAACGCGAACACACTATTGTTCGCCGGCGGACAGTTCGCGAACAGTTCGGCGGACAGTTCGCGACATCTCTATTCTGGGGTGACCTCGTCTGGCAGTGTGGATGTCGCGGTGAGAACCGTGACACACGGTATCCTCCATGCCAAATGTTATTGTCCTTTTGAACAATATATATCCTCATGTAATGTTCTTTTTGGATAAAGATTGTGTATTATTACTACAGTAATCGACTGAAGAATGTAATTTTACTTGTTTTTCTAAAAATGAAGGATAAGTTATGTGTACATTTCACCAGTTAACATCAAAGAAAATTAAAGAAAAACAAAGGCTTCATGCTTATGGAAATCCAGTGACCTGTTCTTGATTTCTTCATTGCAGAACACTCCATTATTGACTACCAGCAGATGTTTCTACATGTTCATTTAACTTATTTAAAGATATTTGCATAACATATTTTTCTTGGATTCACCTGTTGCCAATTCTGATAGGTGAGTTGCCTTAACATGGCTGTTTAAAATGCAATATCCCCAGTTTACTATTCATCAGAGTTTTACTTTGTTTCTGGAGAGTGTCAATGGCCAAACTAGGGGACTAAATGAATACACCATTCACACTGCAGTTCCTTGATTTGACTAAACAAAGAGTTGTGATATACCATAACTAACTCAACTGTTGTGTTTACATTTTGAAACTTGGTAGTCAACCCACTGCACATTGCATTTTAATGATAAGTGATTGTGATAAATATATCAAGTAAGTTACTTCTTTTTGTTAATACTTTATGAATAGTTCAATTTTCTACAAAGTTGGTAAATATAAATAATAACCCTGGCTTTAATCCTAACCCAAACCTTTGCCTAACTTTATATATCTAATCTTAGTCTGATATCTAACCTCAGCCCCAAGCCTAGCATTCACACTAAACCTAACCCAAAACCTAGCCCCAACCCAAACCTTAGCTATTCTAACCATATAGCCCTAGCACTTACAGTGACCCTAACCCCAAACTTAGCACAAACTCACTGATCCCTAACCTAGCCAAGATTCTGACCCAACCATTTGCTGTGGTCTTAACCATGCAACCCAAACAGTACTCCTACTTTAGCACAAGCAATAACACTATCCTTAGCCCTGACACTAATTCTAGCACTAATCATAGTGCTAACATTAATTCTTTCCCCAGCTCAAACAATAACCCTAACTCTAACCTTAGCTTTAGCACTAATCCTAACTACAACACCAGCCCTAACCATCGTCATGTTCCTAACCCCACCCTGTGTAAACCCTAACCCAATGACTAACCCAGCACTAACCCTATCCCCTAACCTAGCCCTAAACCCAGCAATTACAGCCCTAAACCCAGTATTACATTTAACTCTAATCCTAATCCAGACGCTTGATCTAATCTAATGTTTAGTTTTAGTAATGCAATCTATAGTCTGAGTCCTTATACTAACTCTAGCACTAACGTTAATGTAAAATGGCAGCTTTAAACTTAGAAGTTGAAATCCTAGACTTAATACAAACTCTAGCAATAATACTAACCCTAGTCAAACTCTAATTCTAACTATACAAACCAAACCCTTCCACCAAGCTTAATCATAGCACGACCCCAACCCTAACCCTAATCCTATCACTAACCATACCTTAATCCTACTTTAAGCATTAAACTCAACACTGTAACCTAACTTCTAACCCTCCACAAACTCTAAACACAGTACCCACTCTACGAACCTAACCCGTACTCCTAACACAATGGTTGGCATATGGCAGTTCCATCTTAAAATTACATTAAAAATGCCTTAAAAGAAATCTACAACCTATATAGCCAATGAGAAATGGCAGTCAAAGCACACAAAATAATGGCAGTCACAAAAAAGTTAGTGTCATTCACATGACACATTAATTGTTTGCCACAGCATGAATTAAATGCCCGACACAGTACACATATTAAATGTCAATTACACCACACAGTTTAAATGGTGGTCTGGTTGTTTTAGCACAGATTATACCAGTCACAACACACAGATTAAATGTTTGTCAAATAACACATTAAATGCCAGTCACTGTAAACAAGTTAAATGTCAGTCAAAACACACAGATTAAATGTTTGTCAAAGAACACAGATTATGCCAGTCACAACACACAGATTAAATGTTTGTCCAAGAACACAGATTATACCAGTCACAACACACATATTAAATGTTTGTCAAATAACACATAAAGTGCCAGTCACTGTAAACAAGTTAAATGTCAGTCACAACACACAGATTAAATGTTTGTCAAAGAACACAGATTATACCAGTCACAACACACAGATTAAATGTTTGTCAAATAACATATTAAATGCCAGTCACTATAAACAAGTTAAATGTCAGTCAAAACACACAGATTAAATGTTTGTCAAAGAACACAGATTATACCAGTCACAACACACATATTAAATGTTTGTCAAATAACACATTAAATGCCAGTCACTGTAAACAAGTTAAATGTCAGTCACAACACACAGATTAAATGTTTGTCCAAGAACACAGATTATGCCAGTCACAACACACAGATTAAATGTTTGTCAAATA